GAGGCTGTCCACCTTACTCCGAGTAAAAATCAGCCTTGGAGGAAAAGATAGAAACTAGGGGAAATTTTAACAGATGGCATCTGCCAGCAATTAATGGGAGTGAAGCTTCTCTTTTAGCAGATGGGTGGATGTTCTTGTAACCAAACTCTATGATTTCTCTGTTATTCAGACTTTGAATAAATAACAACCACCAATTTAAAACTGTATCTTTGAGCAGCCCCTGGAAGGGAAGGAATATTTAGTGTATTCAGCACATGTCAAATGAAATGGCCAACTTGCAAATCCTAGATTTAGTGATCTTCAGAGACACAGGACAGAAAGAGGAAAAGGTTTCACTTAATTTTATTCATTTTTGTGCTTTAAAAAAGAATCATCCTATGGGGTAGAATTTGAAAAGGGTGTGATTTTAAGAATTCAAATCAGACAGGGAAAAGCATATAGGAATTAATCAAGAGTTTGCTGCCACTGAAACCTCACAGGGACTCAGATTTTCCCAGGATACAAGGTCTGAGTCTTAAGTATATTCCTTCACCAATGAGGTGGATAGTGACTCAGGACACCGACTGCACTCTGTCAAAACACACACATTACCACTTCGTGGTCGCAGCAGAATGAAGCGCTAGAGGACAGGCTTCTTCAATCTACACACGGGGTGGTAAGGCTGGTCCCTTGTAATTCCACACAGGGAAACCTTTCTCCTTATCTCCTTCTCAGCTCTAAACGCTGTCATCAATGAAAGCTTTCAAGGCTAATTTCTAACCACTTAATCATGAAGCAAGACGTTTCTCATCTGTATCCTCCGCTCTCTCACTGGGACAGTTTATGCCTTATTTATAACTTGCATTCTCTTTTATGAAAGAAGAAAGAACTGATCATACAGAACCGTTTGTTGTTTAAAGTGTCAAGAAGTGTCCTAACAGGCCCAATCTTTGTGGAAGCCACAGAAAAAGATCTTTATTATAGAGCCCAGAAGGACACAGAGAAACGTGCAATGTCACTTCAAACGTCTCAGATGCCAGGAGTTACAAACAGGGGAACACGGGCTGGGGCAGGGATGCTTCGTCTGTTTTATCACCACCATAGTTGGCTCGGACGGTAAAGAATCCACCTGCAATATGGGAGATCTGGGTTCGATCCCTGGGTTGGGAAGATCCCCTGGAGAAGGGAACGGCTGCCCACTTCAGTATTCTGGCCTGGAGAATTCCACGGACTGTATAGTCTATGTGATCGCAAAGAGTCGGACACGACCGAGGACTTTCACTTTCATACTTTCATAAGCAGATTATAATTTGTCAAAGTATGCTTTAAAAAAAAAAATGGCTGCACTGGGTCTTAGCTGTGGCACATGGGATCTAGTTCTCTGACCCGAGACTGAAGAACCTGGGTCCCCGGTACTTCGAGTGCAGAGTGTTAACCACTGGATCACTAGGTACAGATGGCATTTGTCAGCACTTAGTGGGAACTAAAAGTTTTCAACTTTCATTTAACTTTTTAGACTCTAGGTATTTCTTACTCTCTCTTCAGCTCATTAAAAAAAAATTTTTTTTTGGTCCAACACTTTGCACTGTTCCTAGTTGGATGCTGCATCTTGCATTTGTAAGTCAGTGCAGTTACAAAACCAACAATTCTCTCAGGTTTATTTTGGAAGCTGGATTGATATAGGAAACTCAGGAAGAAAATGATCATTTCTCTAGAAACGGTGGGAAAGCTGAACTAATTTTCTTATGTTCAGTCTTATCCATATGAAATTTAAGCTATTAAAATTATTTATCTGATTATTTATTCAGGTATTAGCTCTCAGGTGTTCTCTTCAGTTCTTCAAATAAGCAAAAATTGTCTTGCAAGGATTTTCATATTACAAATTTACAAAGTCATTAAAAAACCCTACTCTAAATCAAACGTTTTGCTCTTCTCCCATTATACGCTGCAATGTGGCTAATTGGCCTTCAGGAATAAGGCAAAAATCAACAATGAACATTCTTAGCACTTTGAAAGGCAGGCTCATTTTGTCTTTTTGAAAATTAACAGCCTTCATGTAAAATTTGTTTCATCTTTTGTATGCTCTCAGCTGTGGCTTTCAAACTTGTTTCACCATTACTGACTTTAAGAAATATATTTTACATAATACTTAAACACCACAAAATATCCTTACATGTCATATCAATTGGTGTTTCCTTTAATTCATTCCAGTCCAGTTTGAGGGCAATTTTCCCATGGACTGGCAGGTGTGTGTGTGTGTGTATTGTGAATTTTATTTCTATTATCATTACATCAGCTCCACCCCCAGATCATCCGGCATTAGATCCTGGAGGCTGGGGACCCCTGCAATTGACTATGTATCACTTCCTTATTTTGTCAAAAACACTGAAATTGAGAATCATAGATCACCTGGTAATCCCTACCAGGTAACACTCCTTGTTCTATTTCCACAGACCTTCTGTTTGGAGGTCTGGATTGTGGGTGGGTTCAACCTTCCACAGTAGATTTGTGGTCCTTTCTATCAGCTACCCAGAGGTTCTACCCACTCCTTACCATCCTGGGTTAAGGGTTTTTTTTTTTTTTTGAGATGGCAGCTCAGTCAGTAAAGAATCTGCCTGCAGTGCAGGAGACCTGGGCTCAATCCCTGGGTTGGGACGATCCCCTGGAGAAGGAACCGGAAACCCACTCCAGTATTCCTGCCTGGAGAATCCCATGGATGGAGGAGCCTGGCCGGCTACGGTCTATGGGGTTCCAAGAGTCAGACACGACTTAGCGACTGCACCACCACCACCACAGGGGGGAGGAATTTAGGCTGAAACCCAAGAGTGAGACAATTTGCGATGAGTTGCAGGAGAGCACATGTATGTATACCGACATTTACCGCTCCATCCAGAACCAACGGTCAAGACGAGAACTCTTCCCCAGGGGCCCCACGAGGGCCAGTCCCGGCCTCATGTGTGCTATGCCTGCATGTCTCTCTGCCCTGAACTGATCCTGGACTTCATCTCCGGTCTTCTGGGCCCCCCAGGCTGTGAGAACTAAAGGTTTTCAACTTGCATGTAACTTTTTAGATGCTGGGTATTTCTTACCCTCTCATCAGCTCATTCAAAAAAATCCTTTTTTTTGGGGGGTGGGGTCCAACATTTTGCACCATTTCTGGCTGGATGGTACATTTTGCACTGTAAGTCAGAGCAGTTATAAAATCAACAGTTCTCTCTCAAGTGACTCGAAACAAGACATACAGAAATGTCACTGGGTGTGATTCAGGTTTTATTGCTTGTTACATCATTCCATACAGCAGACTTTGACAAAATATACTGGGAGTATTAACCAGATGATGGCAACCTTGATGAGGATGTTCGAGTGTTTTACGTAAGGTAGGAAGACGCACCGCTGCCACCATCGTCCCCTGGAATTGGTACATTTCATATAAAAAGAGTAAAAATAGTCCATTGGCATTTAACTAGCATCATTCTTTGTAATCTATGAACCACGACACACCTGAATAATTTCAGAACCTTCTGCATAAAACAAAGCATTTTTTTCCTACTAGCAGACGTAGCAATTTGTTTCTTCAAAAAACAAGCAAATTGGCACAACAGAAATTACGCACACAACACGAAAACAAAAGTTAGCGTATTCCACTGGTCCTCAATTTTGATGTCTCCATTGGATTAATCCAAGCAATAAAAATGTGATTCAGCATTTAAAAATGAGACTGAGCTTCTTCACTGTAGTTATGCTTACGTTAGAATTCAAGCGATTTAACTGACACCTATGTGAACCTAGCAAAAACCACGGCTATAACAATCTGCTCTCTTGCTAAGGAAACGTCTTTAAAAGTTTACTGTTCTTTAGAAACTCAGACCCAAGGTGCACAGGTATAACTTGAGGGACCAACAGCTGACCTTTCCAGAAACCACGGCAGTAGTCTAAGTATTTTTGAAGCTGGGGAGCATATACTATCTCACACACATGTCAGTAACTTCCTGCTAAAACTGCACTAATAGTTTTCTCTATTAATGACTTAAAAAAAAAATCTAGCAAGCACTACAGTTCAGCATTTGAAAGACTTCTATGTCAATTTGTACACGGATGCCTGGGCTGAGACATACATTTGGGTACTGGAAAATGCACAAGGCTTAAAATGTAGTTTTATGTGAAACCACTTAGAAGAACTCAGCTACCAAACAACTAAAAATATACAATGGATAAATAGGAATTTATTAAAACCGCTGTCTTTAACAATACAAAAATTAAATATTAAGGCATCTTTTACTCCCATCTAGGTATATGCAGCAAAGAGAAATGGTTTAAATGGGAACCAGCACTTTTATTCAAATATTTTCTAAAGTATTTGGCAGATCTTTTTTTTTTTTCCTTTCTCTGATTCCACATATCATTGAAAGCTCTCAGGATCAAACATCATTACCCAAATCAAAAGTATTAACAGATATGTATTTCTTAAAAAGCAGTTCACCCTTGAAAAATAAAAAGGACCTAGAAAGAATATTACATATAAAGTTCAAATACTAGTATTTACATCTCTCTGAAGCAATTTATGCTTCACTAATTAAAAGAAAGAAAGAACGAAGACTTAAAGACGAGAAGCCTATTAATACGGATCATACTGTGAACACACTGTTCATTCATATTCTCCAATGGGATAAGAATTTGAAAAGAGCTTAAAACTCCTTTAAAAAATATCATATCCACCGGAATAAGATCACATAAATTGACATTAATTATTTATAATTCCTCACATTTCTCCATTTATAACTGGTTCCATAAAGTATTATACTAAACAGTAACATTTTCACCTTTTATTAAGGCAAGTTTGTGAAAATAATTTAATACAACCAGATTCCTTTTTCAACTTGAAACATTTTTTTTTACATAAGAAACATACAAAACAATTGTTTTATAAAAAGCCACCTCAATACCAGAAAAGAGTAATGAAAGATTTTGAACCCCGTTTACTTATTAAAGGATGCTCTTCCCTCGTCTCAAGATTCCAAGGGCTATTCATCGTCTTTAGAGCCAGTTTTGCTCAACTACAAAAAAAGATGAAAACAAACATTCAACAAGTTTAAGCTATCGTCTTATCTGAGTTCACTTTTTCCACTTAAAATCAAAAGTCAACATTTATAATTAACAGAACAGGCAACAGGGTTCAGGTAACTTGTATCACCTAAAGATTTCACCACGTGGAAATACTAATATTTTTTAACTTCAGGCTCAGCTACTTTAAACAGGATTCTTTGAAAACATAACCTCAACAGAAAAAGTAAAAGAAATTCCTTGAAGCTTTCCAAGAAATAAATTGGAAACAAGAGTATACAAAAGGTGCCAATTTATAAAATGAATGATATTCTTGGTTTTCTTTTACAAACAATAAATTCTAAAATTTTTAAACTGTGGTAAGAAAAAATGGTAAGATTTATCACCTTACCCAGGCAATTCTTACAATTTTGAAAATGATACAACTCTTGAATTGCAGGGTCAGCCTCTTTCCCAAGAAGACGATAAGAAATAAAGGTCAACCTCAAATCTTGTGGGTTGGGTTTTAGACCACCACGGTAAAGCAAACATCACAATAAATCAAGTCACACAAATATTCTGGCTTCCCAGTGAATATAAGTTATATTTACACTATACTGTTGCATTATGTGTATAAGAACAATGCACATGCCTTTATCAAAAAAATACTTCATTGCTAAAAAATACAAATCCTCATTTGACAATGCAAGGTTGCCACAAACCTTCAATTTGTACAAAATGCTATCGATGAAGCAAAGTGAACTGCGGGAAAACGAGGTCTGTCTATACTGAGTTTCTTTATTCCAATTGCAGCTCATGGCTCCTCAGTCTCAGATGATTGTGTACTAGGTTTTAGAACCACATAAATTGCTTCAAATAGTTTCTATAGAAAAGGCCCAAACAGCTGGCTTCAAAATAAACTCAGAAAACACTGATTTTAAATTACCCATATTTGTGGGTCCTCATTGATCCTAACTTTGCATCACAGGAATTACCTCACACGGCACAGGGACACTAATTGGCATGAAAACTCATTTCACAAATTCCCAGATAGGGCATTAACTTGCTGTGTTAGGATCTGTTGACGAGGAATGCAAGACAAATACTGAGAGAAGTGGGCCGAAAATTCCAAGTGGAAAGTAAAAAATTCTGCACAACAGAAACAAAAAACCTTCCTTGAGGATGGTGGGCAACCAGATTTAGGGGTCTGTCCTAAAAAAAGTATTTCACCTCCACTAAGAATCAAAGCAATCCTTTTCATGACTTGTACCTTCAAATTCCATATTATCTATAATTTAGAGTCATGTCTTACATTAACAGTCACATTTTATTGTAGTTATAACTTACTTCTATAGATTTTCCACTATTTAAAAAAAGAAATCCTAAAACTGAGGGGCCAGGGAAGAGAAAAATGTGAAGGATATTTCAAAAATACTTACATGCTGAATGTGAAAAAGGAAACACAGACATCCCAGTCCAATGCAAAGATTGATGGGGGAGAAAACGGAAGACATAAATTTTATTAATCGACAGCAGTAACCGTAACCATCTTTTGAAGACAAGAACAAACGTTACATACCTTCACCACATCAACCCAGTTCCATCCTCGAGGAAGTTCTCCTTTGTGATCTAGACCATAAAAACAGTAACTTTATTGCTAAGATCAATCAGAATATTTAAATTTAAGTAAGATTTTTCTATACTATTCTATACCACAAATGGATTAAAAATTTAAATAATTTATTATTAAGGCGGAAAAAGAGCTTATCATCATTCTGCACTGAAAGCATGGTTCCCCCGGGAATACTTGCAAGGTTTTAGATGTACTGCCTTTCTTATTTATCCTCTTCCCATTCAAGCAAAACCTGACATCATGGAAAAAGATGGAGGTGAGCCGGTAATGCCAGGAAGAGAAGCTAATTAATTTATTAGTTTGATGCCCATGTACAACTTCCCTGCTTTATACAAGGTCCCTGCTTAATGAAATAAGTTGGGTCGGTGTGCTGTTTTGTGAGTTATATAAATAGATCAGCTACAGAAAAAACCATTATTTATTGTGTTATGATCTGATGGTAGACCAGACTTCATTTCAAATCAAAGCTGTGTTTCAAAATAAAAATGTCAACAATATACTTATCTGTCATAAAGGTAAACAAACAGGAAAATCCCAGACATGCCAGAGAAGGTCCCAGTAGAACACATATTTGTTCACTCTTCTAATATTCTACAGTATTCAGACTCATGTATACTTTGCCACTTCACCTTCTTCTTAAATGCTTCTCTCTTGTGGTAAAGTAGTAGTAAATAGTTTCAATACACATTTGTGACCTAAAACTGTCTCTGATCCAAATGGTTCAAGAATAAAGAGTGCAGAGAATCAATCTTCCAAATCTAAATAATACTTACTAGGCACCAGTATCACATCAAAAAGCAGTCAAATGTGTCATAAAAGAAAAAAAATAACACAAACCTGTTTTATCTGCCAGTTTACGTTTCTGGGCTTTTGAAAGTTGTTCCTTTTTATCTTTTTTCTTACTTGATGGGGCTGTGCTAGGAGTTTCAACTGAGATGATGTTGCTTATGGATGTCTAGAAAAAACAAATAATTCTTAGACTCTTGCTAAAGCTTACCGAATTACACTAAATATGTCCACATCCTGAAATGAGCTGACAATTTTAGGTTTGTGAGGTAAAAGAATCCTTCATTATTATTAATCAGGTCAGGAAGCTCAGTACACGACTGGTTTCACTCTCCTAAAAGTTCACACTGAAGAACATAATATTGTTACACTGTTATCACCAGTTCCTTGAGAAAGAAGATCTGATACCAGGATTATCCTAAAGCTCTGAAGTGCAGAGGTAATTTTACAACTCAGTTAATGTGCTATTATTCGAAAGCTTAAATATGTCTTTAGAAAAATCACATGTGCCTACTTAGACCCTTCTGGTTCCCAGAGAAAATGAAGGAAAATTTTTAAATATTTGAGACAGACAAAACTGGAAATGCTTACCAGGTGCCAAGCATTGCTGTAAACGTTGTGCATATATCACTCATTTGATTCTGAGTACAATCTTATGAGGTAACTGCTATTATAGCTCCCATTTTACAGATGACAAAGCTGAGCACAGCAAGACTGAGAAACCTGCCGAGAGTCACGCAGCAAAGAGTGCATTCTCAGGGCCACGTGGTCGCGCTCCCAGAGCAGGAGTCACCGCCCTTCTCTGCTTCTCTAGCTGCCTCTCAGGGTCCAGCTCTATCATTGTGCATCTAATACAAAGTCTCCTTCCAGGCTCTCGTGGTGGCTCAGTGGTTAAATAATCCGCCTGCCAATGCAGGAGACACCGGTTTGACCCCTGATCTGGGATGATCCTACCAGTGGAGCAGCAGCTAAGCCCGTGGACCACAGCTACTGAGCTCTGCTCTAGAGCCCTGGAGCTGCAGCTACCAACGTGCAGAGGTCGGAGAGCCTGAGCTCCGCGAGAACAGAAGCCGCCACGATGAGAAGGCCGTGCACCACAACTAGGGAACAGCCTGTGTAGCAAGGAAGGCCCAGCACAGCCAAATAAATAAATAAAACTAAAAAAAAAAAAAAACCATCAAAAACAAAGTCTCCTTCCAATTAAAAAAACAACTAACTAACTAGTAAAAATGAATCACTAGTAGAATAAAACCAAAACAAACAAAACGTGGCAAAAGCAGAACCCCCTGCTCACAGCAGAATGAACGGGATGATGGTTCTCCATGAACTGGTCCTTATGGTCCTTGGCGTACTCAAACAGCGTGTAGGTCATGGCCGTCCCGAGGTGGACTTCCACCGCCTCCTGTAACTTGGCTAGTATGCTCTGTTTTACGTCTGATGATCTGCAATGCACAGAAATACACCGCTAAGAGAAGAGTAAAGAGGGAGTTACCATGACTGGAATGACAACAAAACAGTACTCACATGGTGTTGTTAAAAAAGGCATTCATGGATATGATGGGAGGTGTCTGCGGATAGGTTTCTGTCCAGGAAATCTCTATGAGGAAGGCTTTGGGATCTCCGTTTTCACCTATCTGAAGAAAAGGGGAATCTTAGACTTGTAAAAAGTTCTACAAAGACTAATAAATGATGTTCGTTAGAATGATGACCCCTTTCCAAACCTCGTGATCAGATAGGAAATGTCATTATTTTGAAAAGTTCAAGGGGACGAGCTAAGATCTTGCCGAGGCTGAGGGCAGTGTAAACATGTGTGACTTTTAACCCACTCTGAGGCTGTTTTAACAGCTTTCGTTGATGTCCATGGCCTGCCTCCAGTCTTTCCCAGGAACAACTGTATGTCTTATACGTACAGTTTTTATACCATCAAAGATTTCTGAGGACAAAGGTAAGAGAACAACCATGCAGAACAGGAAGAGAATAGATAAAATAAAATCCACACACTTGAAATACCTCATCTTTCCCTTCAGTTTTCCAATTGCTAAATCATAATAGACATTAAGAACATGTAAATAGATAGGCATTAGCACAATCCCAAGAAGCTAGAAGATGAAATGTAAAATTCAGAGAAAGAAAGAAAGGGCAGAGAGATAAGGAAGGAGTGCCTTAGCCTGGAGGACAACTCTTAAATAAGTTTTTCTTTTTTAATTTATTCTATTTTTGAGGTGTAATTGACATAGATTATGTTAGTTTCTGGTGCACGACATAATGGTTTGACATTTGTATACACTGCAAAATGATCCCCACAATGAGTTTAGTTAACATCCATCCACACACACAGTTGCAGGTTTCTTTTGTTGTTACGACGAGAACTTTAATGATCTACTCTCCTAGCAACTTTCAACTACACAATAGGGTATTATCAACTGCGGTCGCCATGCTGTACACAATATCCCCAGGACTTATGATTGGAAGTTTTTATCTTTTGACAGCCTATTTGCCCTGAGTTGCTTACAGATATCTCTTTTCTTTTGCTTTCCCCAGCTTTTCACTTTGAAAGCTTTTACAGAAAAGCTGGAATAAAACAATGAACACTCATGCACGCTTCACTGCGTATAAATCCATCAGTGTCTACCCGACAGGACCCCCACGTATCCTGCAACATCTTCAGTGAGTAACTGCCGGTGTCAGCGCAGACACTGGGGGAGGACGGGGTGCCCTTCCATTCGCTAGGGTTGGAGGGGCCATGGATGGGGAAGTCTGGGGAGGTGACTGGATGCAAAGAGAAGGGCCTAGTGCTTAACTTCACTGTTACCTTTGGCCACGAAGTCTCTGCTGTTCTTCATGTGGGCTGGTATGAGGACTGTGGAGCTTGAAAGGGAATTGAGAGGCACTGAGCAGAGAGGGGAGTTTCTGAAGGAAATAACTATAAAGGATTTATTTCTTGTGAGGTCGGTAACAATCATGTATAAGGATCATTTCTCAATTTCTTTTAAATGATGACAATGTCAACAACCATAAACCTTTAAGGCTATTATTAAAAAAACCTTCCCTGACCACCCGCCAGTACTTAACAGTTTGGATAAATGGTTTATATTATTTGTTTACGAAATCAAATACTGGTGCTGTTCCATGCTGAAAAAGAATTATAAGCAACCTGTATTTTAAAGAAAAATTGACATTTCACATATGTGAGAAATATTCAGATATGTTGACAATATAGAACTACAAAAATATCAACTTTTCTTGACTAAGTTGTAAAGCAGTAAAAAGAAAACTAGGCGTGACCTAGAGACCTGGATTTTAACCCTAACATTTATCACTGTGGAAACTTGGGAAGTCAGGGCTGAGATGCTATCTTTAAGATTAGAAGGTAAAAACTCCAATTTCTAATGTTTCTTCCATTTCTAATGTTTTATATTTCTGTTACAATAAACACACATTTATCTTAGTTTGAAAAAGCTTCTGAATTAAGTTTTCAAAGTTTGAAAATAATTGATGTCATGGTGATGAGTTTTCATTTTCATTTAAATGGGTCAGCAAATCCAAAGACATGGTAAATGTAAGCCACTAAATAAAAAAAAAAAACCAACAGCATTTTAAAAAACAGCTTCCCAACAAAGTAGTAAGTACTCTTATTCATGTCAGGTCTTACCCTGTATTGAAATGAAACTGGACTTAATTCCCGGAAACTTTCATCTCCTTCATAAATAGAGCGTAATGCCTCCAGTTCCATCTGAAAGAAATGAATTAAAAGGGTTTTGTTTAATTGTACAAATGGATTAGAAATAGAACATAAACTTATAATATGTCCACAGACACACAATTCTAGAAGACTAACGGAGCTAATAAGAATGAACAAATGGAGAAAAGCTAAAAGGAACCAGTCAGTGTGAGAAGAGGAGGTCTGAAAAACTGGGCAGGAAAATGATCTTCAAACATCTGAAGATCGGTCCTATGAAAGAAGAACCGCATTTTATTGTTAAATGGAGATCTGGTTCTCACCACAGGAATTTTGATTCAGTGTATATGAGACAGAGAGCAGGCATCAGTTTTACTAACAATTGCCCAAATGGTTCTAGGTGGGGGTCTCTGGGCCAAACTGAGAGAAACATTACACTGTACACTGCAGCTTCACAGTTAGAACTGTTCAAGCCTTAGCTTAGAAACTAATCTGGCAAGAGTTATTTTTAGAAGCATTTGGACATCATGGCTTGTGGGCCTTCTTTAAAGGTAACTTCCAACCCCGAGATTCCATTACTTCTATCATGTACTGATAAAAGTGCTAACTTTCAAGCAGTATATTCTAAATGAAGAGTGAGATTGGGATTATTTATCTAGGAGACTGGGATTCTAGACCCGATTTTACCACAAACTCACTGTGCAGCCCTGGGACTGTCATTTTATGTTTGCAGACCGTTCTTCTTATCTGTACACATTACACATTTAGAAGCTCCCTCTAGAGATGACCTGGAGTATCCCTTCCGACTCTCACGTCATATGATTCAATGTCAAAGTGGCATTTCATGAGAAAATACCTGAGTGTAAACCATACAACTCTCCTAGTACATGGATGCTCAAAACAGACTTCGTATCTACTGGAAAACATCAGGTGGATAAATGATTCCTTCCACGAAGCCATATGGCCAGAAGACACTACGGTCATTACTTCCCTGCACCAGAAATCTAACTAACTCAATTAACTTTCTCTGCCGGCCAACAACAGATTCTAAGATGTAAAGGAGACGGGACTCCAAGGAGCCTAACTCCGAACGCGGACGCTGAACAACAACTCCGGGGTTTAAGGCCAACCAAGCGCACCGGCTTGCGGGCCAAGGACACTCTCCCTTATTATCAAGAGACCTGGGGGTGTGGGGCGGGTCCCCGGCTTTACAAAAATCCAAAACTGCGGGGCGGGTGGGGGTGGTGGTGGAGAAAAAGCAGAGGCGGGCCCCCCATCCCGGCAGGCGTGCCGGGGCCCCTCCCCGCAGGACGCCGGCAAACTTGGGGCTGCTCCAACCAGACTGCCGCCTTGGGGGCGAGGGGCACGAGCGGGCGGAGAGGGGCACCGCGCCTGCGCGGGGAGGGGGCGTCCAGCCCGGACTCACCTCCTGGTCCTCGTTGGCACCCATCGCCCCGGTCTCGGGGCGCACGGCGTTTCGCGACAACGAAAAGGAAGCAAGGGCCGTGGCCCCGAGGCCAGGGCCGCTCCCTCTCAGGCGCCCTGGGCTGCTGAGACACACGGTTCGCGCGGCAGAAGAGTCGCGCGCCCCCGAGGTCCGGGCTGAGCAGAGCCGTGGGGCCGCGGGCGGGGGGACCGGGAGGCCGCGGCCGCCGGGGCGCCGGGGGACTCGGAGGAGCGGCAGCCGGGCGGTGACCGTAAAAGCCCCGCCCTCTCCTCCTTCCCGCTGCTCCTATTGGCTCCTCCTTTCCCCGCCCCCCAGCTCCTTCTCCTCTAGGACGCGGAGCCCCTTCCTTACGTTTCCGGGAGCGGCGTCCAGTTCCGGGGCTGCGATTGATGCACAGCGCTGTCACTCAGGTCCGGAAAGTGCTTCCTGTGCCTGCGCAGGTGGGCCCTGGGAAGTTTAGGTTGCTGGCTCCCGGCGCAGGGGCGGCGGCGACTGGGACGGCGGCAACCCTCCTCCCGGCGGCATTCTGTGACATTTCTGCCTGCTTCCTCTCGTCCTCCGCCAGCTGGTGGTGACTGGCCACAGCCGCAGCGGGCCCGGGAGGTGCGACCTGGGTGAGTCCGGGTTGGAAGACCTCCGGGGCCGGGGCAAACCGCCGAGGGATATTGCTAGCGCCTAAATATGCTGGGTTTTTTTTTTTTTTTTGGTGGTGGGGGGTGGTACTGTGGTTTCCTACAGCATCAGCGAGTGCATTTCTCTTTTACCTGTTAAAGAAAAGACGCCCCAGCTTTAAGGGGGGTGGGGCTGGGAGGAGAGGAGGAAGGTGAGCGTCTGCCTTTAGGACTGCAGCGTTTCTTCATTTGAGTCCCGGAGCAAGATTCTGCACCTTGAGGGGGGGCCCATGTCTTTCCTAAGTCGGGCTATTGCTTCACAACCTCAGCATCAGCTTTTGTTTCACCGTCCCGGCCCCAAGCTGTCGTTCCTCTTTTGATCGTTTTTGTAATTGGACATGGTTGAGTCCTATCCTTACCGGTCTTGTGTCCTGCGCATCCTGAACCTCCGTTAACTAAAAAATAGGGCCTGCATCATTATTTTTTTTTTTTATCACAACCATAGTGTATCTTTTTTTTTTTACATGTATTCTTATTACCTGCCACTTTGATTAGGTCACCTTTCTTTGCAGTCTGTCATTCCTGGTGGCGCTAGTGGTAAAGAACCCATCCGCCAATGCTGGAGGCATAAAGTTGGTGGGTTCGGTCCCTGGCTCAGGAAAATCCCCTCGAGGAGTGCGTGGCCACCTAACTCCAATATTCTTGCCTGGAGAATCCCATGGACAGAGGAGCCTGGTGGGCTACAGTCCATGGGGTCGCAGAGTCGGACATGACTGAAGCGACATAGCACTCATGTATTCCCTCCGAGAGTCTTCCTTGTAATTGATGATCACGCCAGCTTCCAGACTACTCCCCTTGCACTGCTTGGTCTCCCATCCAGAGTGTTTACTTCCTACTTCTCCATCTCCTTCTAGATCATAGTTTGGTTAGTTGCCTCATTGGTTTCTTCTGGAGATCTGGAAATTTCTCTTATAGGCTGTCATCGAGATCCAGACAGTCTCTGCAATTGGCCTTTGCTGATATTCTCCCCCCCCCCTTTTTTTTTTTTTTTGTCCATTGACAGGGCATAGCCATTTCAAATGCAAAAACTTCCTAAGGTAGTATGTGGCAAGACTTTCTGATTTATTTTCATATGGTAATTTTTTGTACAGAGTTACCATCATTTAGAGCTGCATAGTTTAGTATAATAGCCAGTCGCCATAGATGGCATTTGAAATAGACTAGCCTGATTGAGATAGCCTGAGTGTACAATACAGACCAGACTTTGAAAGACTTAGTATTAAAAAAGGTAAGAAGTTTCACTAGTAACTTTTATAGTTATGTTGAACTGATAATATTTTGGACATCGGTTAAATAGCATATTAAAATTAATTTCATCCCTTTTTAATGTGACTACTACAAAATTTGAAGTTATTTATATATTAGTAGTTTATGTTATATTTCTCTTGGACAGGATTTTAATTTTAAATGATTAATAGTCATTTCTGTTTCTCCTTATTTCCACCCCATATTCAAGGACCACAACTAATTCTTTTGAGTCTCTGGGGTTATTAAAGGAAGTAGGCATTTAGGGCTCTAATCTAGACTCTTTGGGATCAAGCAGTGGTACTCAGATTGTGCTTTGACCATCTCATTTTTCTTTTCACCCCAGATTCACTGAAACTAGAATAGCTGTTTTTCTGAACATGCAGTCCTTTGCCCTCAAAGCTTAATCCTGTCTTCAGACTATCTGTTTAAGCAGTTCTGAAACGTCTGTCTATTGTGGACATCTGTTGTTTCTGGTAGGCTTTCCAAACCGTTTATCTAGCACCCAGTGTTCCTTTAGTACCTAAGGTGAGAAGCCTAATAGCCTTTCCTAAATCAACTTTTCAGGTAAAAATACCGTTTGGTGGCCTAAGTGCTCTCACAGAAATTGTGTGTGAGTCTTGTATGACATGCTGATGAAGATCACCTTTTAAACCAGTCTTTTGGTAGATGTGTTTGGAAACGAGAAATTATTCTTTTTTTTTTTTTTTGAGAAATTATTCTTATAATACAGTGATAATTTTGTTCGCAATAAGCACATCTTTATATGATTGCTTTTGTAAACAGTGCATCTTGGATTGATATAGCCCACTGCTCAGCTAACAGACACAATTGAAATATGTTCTCCTAGAGGGTTCCATTCATTATTAATTTTTCCCTTGTAGATTTTCCTTTAAGTGATGTATTTGCATTAATTGTGGAGAAATGAGACAACATAGCTATTTAGATAATTAGCCTACAATTTTAATGATAGCTCAGGAAATCAGACATTAGCAGTTAGAGAGAAATTAGAGATAATTGTACTTTATTGTGTAAGTCAGTCAACCATTACTATATTATTTTTAATAATTGAAGTAGGTAGTTTGATCATCCTCCTGCTTTTTTAGTCTGTTCATCCTGAAGTTCTGTGTGGTTTTGAGATGTTACTAGAAATAGTGACTGTCTTAAAGTTAACTACAACCGTTGTACATGTTGTTCAGTCGCTCAGTAGTGTCCGACTCTTTGCAGCCCCATGGGCTGCAGCACGCCAGGCTTCCCTGACCTTCACCATCTCTCAGAACTTGCTCAAACTCATGTCCATCAAGTTGGCGATGCCATCTAACCATCTCATCCTCTGTCGCCCCCTTCTCCTCCTGCCTTCAATCTTTCCCAGCGTCAGGGTCTTTTCCAATGAGTCAGTTCTTCACAAGAGGTGGCCAAAGTATTGAGCTTCAGCTTCAGCATCAGTCCTTCCAGTGAAAGATTTTTTAAAAATGTTATACCAGTCATTTCATTTCAGTTGCTCAGTCATGTCCGACTCTTTGTGACCCTGTGGACTGCAGCACCCCAGGCTTCCCTGTCCATCATCAACTCCTGGAGCTTGCTTAAACTCATGTCCATCGAGTCAGTGATGCCATCCAATCTCATCCTCTGTCATCCCCTTCTCCTCCCGCCTTCAATCTTTCCCAGCATCAGTGTCTTTTCCATTGAGTCAGTTCTTCGCATCAGGTGGCCAAAGGATTGAAGTTTCAGCTTCAGCATCAGTCCTTCCAATGAATATTCAGGACTGATTTCCTTTAGGATTGACTGGTTGGATCTCCTTGCAGTCTCAAGAGTCTTCTCCAACACCACAGTTGAAAAGCATTAGTTCTTCTGCACTCAGCTTTCTTTATAGTCCAACTCTCACATCCAAACATGACTACTGGAAAAACCATAGCTGTGACTAGACGGACCTTTGTCGGCAAAGTAGGTCTCTGCATTTGAATATGCTGTCTAGGTTGGTCATAGCTTTTCTTTCAGGGAGCAGGAATCTTTTAATTTCATGGCTGCAGTCACCATGTGCAGTGATTTTGGAGCCCAAGAAAGTACAGTCTGTCATTGTTTCCCCATCTGTTTGCCTTGAAGTGATGGGACCGGATTCCGTGATCTTTGTTCGTGAATGTTGAGTTTTAAGCCAACTTTTCCCCTCTCCTCTTTCACTTTCATCAAGAGGCTCATTTAGTTCCTCTTCACTTTCTGCCATAAGGGTGGAATCATCTGCATACCTGAGGTTATTGATATTTCTCCCGGCAATCTTGATTCCAGCTTGTGCATGATGTACTCTGCATAGAAGTTAAATAAGCAGGGTGACAGTATACAGCGTTGAGGTACTCCTTTCCCAATTTGGAACCAGTCCATTGTTCCATGTCCACTTCTAACTGTTGCTTCTTGATCTGCATACAGATTTCTCAAGAGGCAGGTCAGGTGGTCTGGTAGTCCCATCTCTTGAATTTTCCACAGTTTGTTGTGATCTACACAGTCAAGACTTTGGAGTAATCAATAAAGCAGAAGTATATATTTTTCTGGAATTCTCTTGCTTTTTCTGTGATCCAGTGGATGTTGGCAATTTGATTTCTGGTTCCTCTGACTTTCCCAAATCCAGCTTGAACATCCAGAAGTTCACGGTTCATGTACTGTTGAAGCCTGACTTGGAGAATTTTGAGCATTACTTTGCTAGCATGTGAGATGAGTGCAATTGTGTGGTAGTTTGAGCATTCTTTGGCATTGCCTTTCTTTGGGATTGTAATAAAAACTGATCTTTACAGTCCTGTGGCCACTGCTTAGTTTTCCAGATTTGCTGGCATATTGAGTGCAGCTCTTTCACAGCATCATCTTTTAGGATTTGAAGTAGCTCAACTGGAATTCCATCACCTCCACTAGGTTTGTTCGCAGTGATGCTTCCTAAGGCCCACTTGACTTTGCATTCCAGGGTATCTAGCTCTAGGTGAGTGATCTCACCATCATGGTTATCTGGGTCATGAAGATCTTTTTGTACAGTTCTTCTGTGTAGTCTTGCCACCTCTTCTTAATATCTTCTGCTTCTGTTAGGTCCATACCATTCCTGTCCTTTATGGTGCCCATCTTTGCATGAAATTTCCCTTAGTATCTCTCTCTTTTTTTTTTTTTCCCTTAGTATCTCTTAATTTTCTTGAAGAGGTCTCTAGGGGAGGTCCCTAGATGGGGGCAGGTCTCTCCCATTCTATTGTTTTCCTCTATTTCTTTGCATTGATCACTGAGGAATGCTGTCTTATCTCTCCTTACTGTTCTTTGGAACTCTGCATTCAGATGGGTATATCTTTACTTTTCTCCTTTGCCTCTAGCTTCTCTTCTTTTCTCAGCTATTTGTAAGGCCTCCTCAGACAACTATTCTTTTTTGTATTTCTTTTTCTTGGGGATGGTCTTGATCACTGCCTCCTGTACAATGTCACAAACCTCCATCCATAGTTCTTCAGGAACTCTACTGTCACTTCTACTGTATAATCATAAGGGATTTGATTTAGGTCATACATGAATGGTCTAGTAGTTTTCCCTACTTTCTACGATTTAAGTCTGAATTTGGCAATAAGGAGTTCGTGATCTGAGCCACAGTCAGCTGCTGGTCTTGTTTTTACTGACTGTATTGAACTTCTCCATCTTCAGCTGCAAAGAATGTAATCAATCTGATTTCGGTATTGACCATCTGGTGCTGTCCATGTGTAGTTATTAAATTTTAATAGGTCCAATTCAAGAGTTAAAGTTTTCCCATTTGCTCTCTTTTGGATTTGCTCGACAGTTTGTAAACACTCATAGTCTTTTGCTTTTTTGTAATATTTCCTGAATGGTAGAGGTTCATATGTTAGATGAGGATATGGGCTTTTACTAAATTAATTATTAATGTTTTAACGTTTGTATTTCAGAGTTTTCGTGACACCTTAAACATGAGCCCTACACAGTGGGACTTCCCTGTAGAATTATGCTGTCGGCCTATGGCTTTCGTCACTCTCACAGGCCTGGATGTGGTCTACAATGCTGTCCATCGAGCTGTCTGGGATGCCTTCTGTGCCAACCGGAGGGCTGATCGGGTACCTATTTCTTTCAAGGTGCTCCCAGGTGACCACGAGTATCCTAAATGTAGACCCAAGGTAATGACATTATACTTGCAAGGGGACCCTCCTTCTCCCTCTCTCTCCCCTTCTTTGAGTGTGTATATCTTTTTTGTTCCTATATCTGTGCAGGAAAACCCCTGAGTTTATCAAGGGTATGGTTACAGAGGTGCGTGAAGAAAACTCTAGATGTTTTCATGTTTGTAATACGCTGCAAGTTCCCAGGGTGTTTTGTGTTCTGTCCTCTCTTTACTCATGTGGAGTAAATGTTGGACCAGCATGAGCGGGAGTAGTCTGGGTTGCTGCCGGTGCTTTGGGGGTGATGTGGGGGGATCTGGGTGCTTCAGGCCGTCCCCTCCCCACGACGTGGCACTCCTGCTGACCCAGTGATTGCTCTTACACCACTGTACTTAGGAATTATCCTTCATTTTTTTCTTTTACCCACAAGGAGGTATAATGCCATCCTGCCATATGACTTAGAAACAAATGAAGCCATTTTGGGCTTTAGAGAACACCTGAGCAGATTTTACAAGAGCAGAATCTGGGATAGTGAGGCATATAAGTAGAATTTATTGGGGAAAGGGCTGTTTCGTTCAGCCTCTTGAATTTGAAAGCTTGACATCGTTATTTGAAAGATTTGATGGCATTAGAAATGCTTCGGCTTTGGTCCTTTAAATGGTTACGGTACTGGCTCTAGGGTTGAGTGTCTACCTCCAAAAATTGCTGTCTCTTATTTGGTCTCTGTAAAAATGTTATCTTTAAAAGGTGTGGCATGTGTATGTGGAATGAGAGAAATAACCAGAAAGTGCCTGCACTTCATAACAAGTGGTCTCTGCTGTTCTCCTTGTCAAGTACCTCTTTTCAACTTTGGCCAATGTTTGCAGAGAACTTCGTATGAATGGTACATCCCCAAAGGGATCTTAAAGACGGGCTGGATGAACAAACATCTGAATCTGGTGCCAGCCCTAGTGGTCGTGTTTTATGAACTGGACTGGGACGAGCCCCAGTGGAAAGAAAAGCAGTCTGAATGTGCCACCAGAGTGGAAATAGTCAGGTATGGTCCCCTTCGTCAGGTTGACCGTGTGCGGTCAGACCCACCTCTGGGGCTTACCGAAGCTTAGTGAAGGCAACTGAGTGCTGTTAAGACTGCAGTGGTCATTCGGGGATCACTGGCGTCCGGGGAAACCTGTTGACTTGCTAACAGGTAGCATTAACTGACCTTAACTTACAGAATGCTAAGCAATGGGAAGAAATTTCAGAGACAAATTGGCCTGAATATCCAAATGTTTCTTCTTGCATTTATATATTTTTTTGAACTGTAGTGGTTTATTATTTAGTCTCATAAAGCACTTTTTGCTTTATTACCATTTGTTTCTAAATAATTCTTTTGGATGACTGTTCTAACATATCACTATAAAGAAATAAGTAGTTGTGTAACTTTTACATTAAAGTATATGTTAAACTTTTGCCTTCTAAGATTTTTTGGTAAGAAATGAGAGCTCAATGTGAGATTATACTTTTAAAATTTAAATAATTGTGGCATGTATGTTTCATTATATGTGGGGAAAAAAATTCCCCTAATCTTGATTTTTTTTTTTTTTTTTAGTTTAAATTTGTCTTTCTTGGACTAAATTGTCAATCTTGTATCTTATGTAAAATCATGAATATACTTTTTAAGTTTTTAAAAACAATTTAATTATTAATTCATCTTATTGCTCTATTCCCCTGCAGGCAGAGTTTACAAGGGAGAAACACCAAAGTTGCAGTGGTTCTGATTCAGAAGAAAACCCCCTTGCCCCCAGGTAGCAGAAAGTTGCTTAACAAATAATTGATTGGTTTATCCCTCTAGTTCTTATTATCAGGAGGCATTGTCTTTAATATTAAAATCTTTTATGCATTCGGTTACGCGAAAGATGGTGTGTTAACCTTAAAAAAGTGCCAGTAATGCAGGAGTAAATGCTTATTATAAAAGAATTAAAAACATTAAAGAGTGCAGATCTTCTCAAGTTCTGCTCCCCAGTTCCACTCACCTCACCTAGGGAGGCACATATTAATTGACAGCATAGTTGTTCACTTAATGTTTAAAATTAAAGGTTTTTTTGCTTATGAGATCTAGTTGAAATTATATTCCTTATGTAATTTTATTTTTTTTTTAATTTCCAATAGGGCAAAGATAAGTACTGGGGGGGAGTTTTTCTAATTTCCTATAAGAAAATGTCTTATTTCAAGTTCTTGTTTCTTTACCATCTCAAACTTTAGAAGTCAAAATATATTTTAGTTTCTGTGTTGAAACTTGAAGCATCTTAAATAGTTTTGCAAACCATTTTCATGAATTATTGCTTTTATTTTTAGTTACAGTTTTTGAAACAGTTGCATGGCATATCTGTTGTCATTCCTTGGCCTGTCTATCTTGGCTCTCTAGAAAATTCCATAGTGTTTTTCTATAACAGAGATGTATGGTACAGCTTCTAAGGGCCCCACAAAGCTCTCAAGGGCCCTTGGGGTCCTACAGATGTGAAAAGTGGCTTGAGTTTTTTTTAAATTATGTTGTACCAGTTTGGGAAAGTGTTCATTTAGAAAAATATGTTGATTTTCTCTCCTTATGAAACTTGTCAACAGGAGAAGATGTCATTGCTTCAGAAAGGGCTGCAGCCTTATGCAACGCATGTGAGCTATCAGGAAAGTCTTTGTTTGTACTGCCCCATACAGACCACCTTGTGGGTTATATTATAAGGTAAATAACCGAGACAGTATATTGAATTATTTAAGTTTTGGCTAATCCTTTTTATTTTACTTGTTTGCTCATTTTCATTAGCTGTATTGAAACCCTTTTATAACTTCAGAACTCTTCCAAGGAGGAAGAACCTTGAAGGTCAATCTTTGACTTTGAAGTCAGCTTTCTTTCATGCCCTGGGAAGATACTTCTGATATGTGCTATTTTCATAAGCAGAACTTTGAGTTGTTTATCCATCTTCAGGCAATTTGGTTCCTCTGTAATCTCATAATTATAGAATGAAGCAGGATTTAACTTACACAAATGTTACTTTCACTTCATTTGCTAGTTCTCACTTCTGGTCCCTTTCCTGTTAGTTTTCTTTATCTTTAAACCCTAAATGTTATAGTCACAAAAACAGTCAAATCTAATTGAGTATTAGATATCTTATTTCTTTCATACTTATAAAATAATAAAATAAGTGGAGTGGGGGTAATCTTAGAGCTTACCTAATTTTTAGAAATTGTAAAAGTTATTTTTATTGATTATTTCCTAGACTGTAAATAGTTCTAAATGGCTTTTGGTTGGTCTTATTTTTAGATATTTTTTTCTAAAAATTTAGTTTATAGTTTGTTTTACTCTTTATCTTATGAAGTCAATCAGGCATTATCTCTGTCAGGATTTACTTTCAGGTCTTAGAAATGTGGTTCTTGAAAACACTTTGGTTTAAAGTAACTTTAGTGTTTGAATGTTGGTTTTTTTTTTAACAGATTAGAAAATGCCTTTTATGAACATGCACAGACTTATTACTACACTGAGATTAGAAGAGTGAAATCTCATAAAGAATTTTTGAATAAAACAACACACCAGGTACATGTCTTTTCCTAGAGGAGGAAATAATAGCAGCATTTTAGAGCAGATTGTTCATCATCAGTTATTTTTGAGGAGATTAAAGTTCTTAAATACTTTGATGTTTTTAAATGGCTTCTGTACTTTTGAAGTTTTTTTTTTTTAAGCTTTTAAAAATTACTTTATCTTTTGTCCTATTTGCCCTTAAAGCTCTTGAAGATGTACTTTTATAGCCTTCCTAACTACATTTGTTTACTGGAATAATCCTTGAACCTTTCTTTCGAATATTTTCCTTTATACTTTTAGATTTCCTCTCAACAAGCATTATTATAATTTTTATATTTTTAAGAGAAGATGTGTAATGTATTTTTTTTCTATCTTTTTCAGCTTTTATTTGTTAGACATCAGTTCAAAATAGCTTTCTTCAGTGAGTTGAAACAAGATACACAAAATGCTCTGAAGTAAGTTTCTAACCGTTGTCAAACTAGATTTTTCTTTATGTTAACAATAACATATTAACAGCAATTTCTGAATCACAACCAAACTTTAATTTTTATTTATTTTTTATTTTTTTTCAAACTTTAAAATGTTTATCTTGGTTAAATTCAGGTTCGTAATATTCAACTTTAATTTTTCTAGAGATAAATGGAATATAATGTTTGAGTTTTTTTGGAAAAATATCCATTTTATTATCAAAGATAAATTTTACAATGCTAGAAAGCTTTCTGTTCTAATTTAATTAATTTCATGATCTAAAGAAATAGAGTACTAAAATTTTTCTCATCCTATTGCCTGCTTCTCATTTGTGTCTTCAGTAAAACCCTTGTGGTAAGACTGATTTTCAAAGCTTAATATGTATTGAACATTATCTGAATCAGACTGAATGTTTTAAGGTGTGTAGTATGTTTATTCAATTCAACTGTGATTTTATTTTTATTAATTTTGTTTTTAGTTTATAATACCTGCCAGTAGCATCATCTTTTATTCAAAGGCTCTGTTTAGCACTTTGAAGAATAGTTGCAGATGCTTTGCAGTGGTTAGATATTTTATCCCTTTGCTTTTATTTTGCTACACACAATATAGTCAAACATCTCTTTCTAGCTTAACTGAATTTTTTAAGATTGACAGTGCCAGTGTAGCAAAAGGATAAAAACCAGCTTTATATCTTAAAATTGAGGAAGGGTTAAGTATACATGGGAGGTGGAGTAGAGAAAAATTGTAAGTAAGTCTGTTACTCAGAAGAATATTGCAGAAACCTCTTCTTTTTTGTTTCTAATGAAGTGCTAAACACCAAATCGTGTTTTATAAATCTCAGCAACTTCATGTATAGTTTTAGCTCATTTTAAAAGGTAGTTTATTTATTGTCCATGGTATTAGTGAAACACCTTCAATTCTAATTCTGTTCAAAAACAGTGCTGGAAAGAAAGCTATTACCTGGAGAAGTTAGGCGCAGTTTTCTTTGGCGAAGACTGCGATTTTTCTCATTACCTTCTGTCAGCCTTTGCTTTCCTCTCCCTGCTCTCTCCTTAAGCACTAGCTGCCCTGAGGCTGTCTCCACTGCAGTCCGTTCCCGAGACCAGTGGTCCCGACTTGACGTGGAGAGATGCCTGGGTTTAAAGCTGCTGACCCATCTCTGTCCTGATGGTTCCTTCTTTGCTTGTACAATGTCTGTCTGTCTGAGGAGCTCAACAGTGATGCTTTTAAAAATTACCTGTATTTTAACGGAATGTTAATTTTTCCCTGTAACTCTTGGTCAATTTCCCACTTTACTTTCATTTTTGCAACTTACTTCTTGTCAGCTGCAGACAGATGTTAGTGACCAAACAACCTGCCACGGGTTCTGTTCTTAGCAAAAAACCAGTGACTCCTCCCACACGTAACGAACCAATGTGTCCTTTTCCAGGGGTCAGAGACTGACCCCTGTATGTTGTTACTGAAGCTGTTGGATGTTAAGACACATTGAGTAAATGTTGACTGTTATTTCTGGTAATTTTGCTGATAGGAATCTTTCCTTAAAATCAACCGGCATCATGATTAACCACCTTCCCCGTGTTTTTATTAGGAATTACAGGACCGCCTATAACCTTGTACATGAATTGAGAGCCCATGAAACTAACATTCTGGAAATTAAGACCATGGCAGGATTTACAAACTACAAGGTAATAGTTCCACTTCCAAGCATAAGGAATATTTGGCTTTAAATATGGGATTGTCCACTTAAGATTTGAAAATCCTGATGAGTCACTTGCTCTGAAAAGTGATCACTTGATAAACTGTGCTGGGCACTCAGTCATGTCCGACTCTTTGTGACCCCTCTGGACTGTAGCCTATCAGGCTCCTCTGTCCGTGGAATTCTCCAGGCAAGAATACCGGAGCGGGTTGCCATTCCTTTCTCCAGGTGGTTAATTGTGTTCTGTCCCATTATGTCCCTTATCTCAAGGGCTGCCCTGGTTCTTAGCAGCCTAATTGTAATGCTTGGTTATGAGCTATGGGTCCCAGAGTTCTCGTTTAGAACAGTTTTATCTTTGTAAAACTCCTTGAGGAGGGTCTTTTGTTTTTAAGTGGGCGCAGGAGACAGTGAGAAGAAAGCTGCCTATAGTACTGAATTTTAAAAGATGCAATCTATTAGAACTGGGTAAGCCTTCTTTGGTGTAATGGCATAGGTCCAGAAAAAGTCTACTTATTCCCCTTAGAGAAGACTTTTATACCTGTTATGTGAGCACTTTAAGATTGTATATGGTAGGAGTAGACGCCTCTGGAAGGTAAGAGAGGCTGTGTGTTTGCTTTTCATTTTTCTGCACTCATCTTTTAAAGAGGCTGGCTCTGGGTTAGTGATGTGAGGGCAGACAGACACTCAATTCATTACTCGTGTAAGTGTAGATTTGTACACCTTCTACAGAAACTATTTTTTTGTAATGACTGTGAAGATTTAAATTTGCATATTCCTTTTGACCTAGCAATTCCATTTCTGGGAATTTATCCCACGTCTGTGCTAAGACTTGCAAATCACGTGTTTGAGGATATTTATTGCATCTTGTAATAAGAAAAGATTGGAAACCCAGCAGTAAGTGATTGGTCAACATAAATAACTCCGAACAATGAAATACACAACTATTAAGAATGAGGCAGCTCTGCATATTGAAATGGAATGATATCGAAAATATATTGGTAGGTGAAAAAAGTGAGGCACAGAACAGTATCTTTAGTGAAATGCTATTTGTATGAAAATAATATTAATAGTTCACATGTCAATGCATGCACATACTTGTCTGAGATAGACTATACCACAAATGCCAGGAGCTGGTTGCCTTTAGAGGGGGAAATTGGATCCCTGAGGGACAGGGATGGATGAGAGATACAACTTTTCATTTATCCCTTTTTACCTAAAAAATAAAATCAAAACTGCTACTAAGTATGTGAGCTTCTCAGGTGGCTCAGTGGTAAAGAATCTGCCTGCCAAGCAGCAGACTTGGGTCCGATCCCTGAAACGCCGCTGGACGAGGGCATGGCAGCCCCCTCCAGCATTCTTGAATGGAGAACGCCGTGGTCAGAGGAGCCTGGCCGGCCACAGTCCATGGGGTTGCAAAAGAGTTGGACACGACTGAGTGACCAAGCCACAACAGCACGCATGGAGAAATAAATTTAGGCCTTGTTTCTTCTTTCTTTTTCATTTACCCTACATATGTATAGATTATTACTTTGAAATAGTATCCCAGAGAAAAATTTTTCAAGAATTTCTGTAATCCTTCTTTGATACAGAGGCTACTGTGCTTTTATTGTGCTGCACGGTATCTTTCGCTTTCTGACAGTTCTAAAACTGAAAGTTCATCTGTCCTTTCTCAGTTACCTGTGGGAAATATTTTATTTTTGCCCATCTTTATGCTCTTCACTGGGCTTAATATTTCCTTATGCTATATACCTTAAAACTTTCTAAGGTATAGAATAGATTCACTACAAATAGTGAATAATTTTATTTCATTAATCGATGGGACATAACCTTTTTAGATAACTTTTCTAACAGAGAAAATCAGTTCTATTGTACTTCAATTCTAGTGAACTTCAGAGATGGACATTCTGTAGTTTTTTTAAAGTTAGTCTCAAATTTTATATACTTTTAAATAAACACACTTTTGAGTTTGGGTTTCTTCTTGACTTCAGTGTTGGGTTTTACATCTTGCAGATCTGTAGGTTGTGTTTTCAACACAACACGCCGCTGGATGCAATCGCTCAGTTCCGCAAGCATATTGACTTGTGTAAGAAGAAAATCGGAAGTGCAGAGTTGGCTTTCGAGCACGCAGCATGGATGTCTAAACAGTATGTTTTAAATTTGATTTTCAGAATTTTTTTTAATCAAATTCTTGGAATTTGGAGGGATGGAGTTAGCATGGACTTTGGTTTTAAATCGCACTAAGATATTTGTCAGTAAGTAGGTTTTTAATGATCCAGCATGTTTAGTGTAGTGGCAGATAATTGATTCATACAGTTCCTTAATGGGAATCAGCTGCTTACTGGTCCCATTTCTTTCATTCAACACACACACACACACAAATATATCAAGTTTCTCATGTGTCCAGACACTGAGAATATAGCAGTGAATAGACAATATCCCTACTGATACGGAATTTGCTCTCTGAGACTGATGACAGAAAATTGCTAAAATGAAAAATTTCCCAGACACATGGATGTATTTGAATGGTTGGAACCATGTTGACATCTGGTTTGATGATACATTAATAAAGACTCACTAGCATGGGAGAGTTGACTTAGAGAATTTTTCTGTAACCTACAATCACTGTGTATTAGTGTTTACAAAGCAGTCCCCACAGTTTACAGCTCACCAGTGACATTTTCTGGATACAGTCTTCTGAGGTTATGGTTTCAGGATGAAAGACTAGTATTAATAGAAGTAAGCTTCTTTTTCTTTTCTCTCTTAAAATTTCTTGATTCCCCCCCGCCCCCGGAAGATTCCAGGCCTTCGGAGATTTATTTGATGAAGCTATTAAGTTGGGGTTGACAGCTATTCAGACTCAGAATCCTGGTTTCTATTATCAGCAGGCAGCGTACTATGCCCAGGAGCGGAAACAGCTTGCCAAAGCCCTCTGTAACCATGAAGTAAGTCACCGACTCTTGTATTACCTGGCAATTAGGAAGTTTATTAACCTTCTCTTAAAAGAGGATAAAGCTGATTGGCGTTGATACTTTTTTTCCAAGCCTTTGCCTATAACAAGTTTTTATCGTTGATATTTTCAGGAGTTAGGATTATTTTCAGCTTTAGCCTGAGTACTCTGTTTTCACCTATGAACTAAGCAGACATTTTTCTTTGAAGAACTGATTTTTGATTAGCCATAAGTTAGTGATTTTGACCGGGGAAAGTTGCTTTAAAATGAAAGCCACAGTTTAGTCTTTGCCACACTGTAAATTCATTGTTTTGCAGTTTGAAGGACACTGAGCAATATGCTTTATTTTGACCCAGTGGAGAGGACGTCACTGGACGTCTTTCTTTTCCTGGAGTTCTCCTCCATGGAAAACTCCAAAGAATCTATTTAGGTGTATTAATTACATGGTTTTTTAAACTTGACATTTTATTTTGCCTTTCTCTTGCATGTTTATATTTAAATACCAATTACTCCATAAGCACCTTTTAAAATAAAAACATGGTATGTGTATATGTGTATATACATAGATAGAGACACTTACATTCATATAGTTATATCAGTTTATTTTCACTTAAGATCTCAAAATTCTTCTCTGAAGATAGGTGAATTTAAACAGCAGTGCTACTTAAAAAGCTGTTCAGAAAAAAAAATAATTTGCTTATTAGTACTTTGAATGTTTGAATTTTTTTCCCCTTAAATCATAATATACCAAGACACTTTTCTACCATGTTATTTGTATGTGGTGTATAATTTCATTGTATGTTTTATATTTTTAAAGTTTGTCATAGTATCATTTGAGCACAGTATTTTAAAAGGCCTCATCAGGATATGTGTAAACAGGCATTTGCAAATACTGGCTGGAGTGTAAAATGATAACTTCTGTCAAGTAATTATATTTCTGTCAAGTAATTACTTCTGTCAAGTAATTATAAAACTGTGCCTACCTTTTGACCTGGAATTTCATATTCAGGAAGCCTAAAGCAGATAAGGGATCCTAAGAGATAAGTTTAAAGAGTTATTTATAAAACTGTTCTGACAGATTTATTAATTGTAGTGCAAAATAATAATAATCTAAACAGCTATAGGGAATCTGTTAAAATGTGGAATAGCAGGCAGCCATGAAAAATAATGTTTTGGAAGAATATTCAGTGATATGGTGAGATACAGGAAATGTCTTTAAATGGAAAAAGTAGGTTGAAAAATTATTTCAGCTGATGACAAGTAAACATTCACATATAAAATCTAGAAGAATAATGCACACACTCTTAATAGTGGTGGTAGGTCTACAGGTAATTTAAATTTTTATCCTTTATCTTTTGGAAGTTTTATTTTTCAACAAAAACTCATTACATTTTGGTTTCAGAGGGGAGAAGGTTATAAAAAAAAAAAGGAAAGCAGCATAAATTTGTGAATCCTGATGCCAAAAATATCCTTCCTCCACCAATATCAGGACTTAATACACTTGCGATAAAAGAAAATCATATCTTTTTAAAAAAAACTTCTGATAACATTTTTATTTACCCCAAAATATATATGGTTTAACTATCAAGTTTCATTTGTAATATATTTTTACTTGTTTATAAATAAAAAGAAAATGTAGAGAAGTTAGTTATTATGAGATCATTCGTTAGAATCAGGTTGGTTTATTCAGTTTTATTTTTATGAGACTACCTGACCCCTCCCAGAATTCTTGCCTGGGAAATCCCGTGGACAAAAGAGCCTGGCAGGCTATAGCAAGGAGTTGGACACGACTTAGCAACTAAGAACTCAGATGCAATATTAAACAGTTTTTGTTTAATTTTGTGAAAGTTCAGTTTGTTTTAAAATAGTCACAATTTTGATATTTAAGTGTGTGGTTTGTATTTATGGAAGCTTTTCTGTTCTGACAATGATTGGGGAAGAGTTGGTTAGTGACGGGTTGTGTAAACTTATTCAGGGTTGTGTTTTAACTTACAGGCTTCTGTAACGTATCCCAGCCCTGATCCCTTAGAAACACAAGCAGGCGTCCTTGACTTCTATGGACAGCGATCATGGCGACAAGGAATACTCAGTAAATAACTTTTCCTTTTCCCTTTTTTGTCAATCTCGAAAGGCAAGAGATTGCTATCATAATTTTTCCTTTGGCTTCATTAGTATAACAAATTGTGTTGAGATAGAAATATTTGCTTTTTATGCATTCTTTAAAATTGAAGTACAGTTAATTTACAATATTGTGTTTCTGCTGTCCAGTAAAGTGAGTCAGTTATACATATACATATATTCAGTATTTTGTAGATTCTAAACATTTTTTTAAGATTTACTTTTTAGAATGTGTTGTTTCTATCACTGCACCTTAGAGTAACATAGCTAATGATGTGATCAACACATTTGGACATCTGTTGTCTTAAACGAAAGAATTTAGTAAGCCACTGTGGCCAATTTTTAGATTTGACACTTTAAAACATTACTTGTACTATCTTAAAAATAATTTCTCTGCATCTTTCTTGTTTTATACACACTTAATTGAAGCAATTTCTGTGGCCATTAAACCTAAAGTGTTAAGAAATCATTTACTTTGGGGGAGGGTGGATACATGTATACGTATGGCGGAGTCCCTTCCGTTCACCTGAAACTGTCGCAGTATTGTTAACTGGCTATACCCCAATGCAAAATACAAAGGTAAAAAGAGAGAAATTATTTACTTCGGTCTCTCGGAAATGTATTCTATCTAGAGAATGATACCAATACCACTTTTTTTTTAAAGCACTTTTGAGGTGGTCGCTTCCACTGAGCAGAAGAGTGTTGAGCTCAGCATCGCTCCATTCAGAACAGAGGCCGCACCGAAGATTCTGTGCGATAGAGCCACCTCTCAGACTCTTCAGAGTTCTGGAATGTTGAAGAGTCTGAAGTACATTGTAGTAAAGGACTCACGGAGTGCACACATCCAATGTCCCTGTGAAGGATTTGTGTTCAATGAGCTCTCTGAAATGGGCTGTGTCCTCTCTCATACAGGTTTTGATCTTTCTGATCCCGAGAAAGAGAAGGTGGGGATTCTTGCCATTCAGCTGAAGGAGAGAAGTGTTGTTCACTCTGTGAGTTTTCTTTTGTTTTTTTCCCAACACAGACTGTGTTTTCAAGGAAAACACGAGATCATTTTTATTGGAACGTTTCACACTCAATCTTTCCCAACAGGAAGTAATAATAACTCTTCTGAGCAATGCCGTTGCGCAGTTTAAGAAGTACAAGTGTCCAAGAATGAAGAGCCAGCTGAGTACGTGTCCCTGGTGTGCCGCCGCTCATGGGGCTTCCGAGTGCTTTCAGATCAGTTTCATGCAGTCTTTTTTCCTTTACAGTGGTTCAGATGGGAGAGGAGTACTACTATGCAAAGGACTATACCAAAGCTTTGAAGTGAGTCCTGTTCTCTATCTTTGTCAGCGTTCTGATTCCCTTGCAGCTAAATGACAACGGAAATTTATATTGAAGGATTTGTTCTGTGTTTATTCCCACTTCTATTAAACACCATTTCTGTGACTTTTTTTAAATTTCAAGTAATGTCTATTGGTACAGTCCTTTTCAGAGTCTTAGCAAACCTCACATATATTTAATGTGAAAATACCTGTTGAACTATTTCAGGAAGATTTTTCTGAAGTTTACATAAAATGAGTAAAGCACTTCCTTTTAGTTTCTCCATGAACTCTTTCTACACTGCCTCATGAGGCTGGCTCGGTGTGTCTGACATGTTTTCCTCTGTCAGGTTGCTGGATTATGTGATGTGTGATTATCGGAGTGAAGGGTGGTGGACCCTGCTCACGTCTATACTGACCACGGCTCTCAAGTGTTCCTACCTCATGGCCCAGCTGAAAGATTACATCACTTACTCCCTGGAACTCCTAGGGAGAGGTAATGACATCCTTTGAGTAAAATCTGGAATCTTAACAACTGCAGAGCCTCTTTAAGCTTCTTTTAAATTGGAAGAATAATTTAGTATCAAATATCTCATAGTACTTGAAGCACCCGCCGGTCACTTTGCTGAGAGAAGGGGTTTATACTTTAATGGAACTTATTACAGTTGAAGGTCTTACTGTAGTTGAGAAGAACAGATTTCTTCTGCCTTTTCAAACTATGGCGTAAAATAATTTTTCATGTAAGAGTTCAAACTTAACATACATAAAGTTTGAGGCTGATTTAGAAAGCTGAGCTGTCAGTTTTCTGGAATTGTGCTTAGCCATCTTAGAAGAGATATTTATCTACCGTATTTTAATACCTGTAGGGAGGTTATTGGGCTTACTTGGGGCTTACCCCCCTAATACCTGTATGGGGTCACAGGCTTACTTGCCTGTCTTATAGTTCTGATTTTTTCTTCTTCCTTCCTATTAGCTTCAACACTGAAAGATGACCAGAAATCTCGGATAGAAAAAAACCTCATAAATGTTTTAATGGTAGGTTGGAACTCTTTATATATAAAATCTGTATCTAGAAATGTGTATTTTTTATAATTAGCTGAACAAATGTTTAACTCCATGTTGGTGCAGAATGAAAGTCCTGATCCTGAACCTGACTGTGATATCTTAGCTGTGAAAACTGCTCAGAAGCTGTGGGTGGACCGAATCTCTCTGGCTGGCAGCAATGTTTTCACAATAGGCGTACAGGACTTTGTGCCATTTGGTGGGTAACCAGCATCTTTAGTATTATCTTAGAGAAGTTGCCCATTTTCTAAGAAATAAATAGATTCAGAATAATAAATACAAAGTCAAAGAAAGAATTTTCCAAATACAGTCATTTTGTAGATAAACTGATTTATTTTTTATTTTTTTACTTTCGCCATCGACATATAAGGATGGTCAGAATTTTAAATACTTAGTTTAGGTCTTAAAATTTTCTGCTGTGTTCATTCTTAGTTCAGATGTTATTTGAAACACATTTGAAAAGACAGTTATTTAAAAGGTTTATGCTTTCCTGTCTCGGCGGGTGTTTTGAAATAAGCTAAAAATAACAAAATGGTTCTTTTTTCTTTAAAACCATATGTCAGTTATATTTCAGGACCAAGCATGCTTTTAAAATTAAAGAGGTTTTGGAGGTAGAGTTCATTTAAATTTTTTTTAGAGAGTGAACTGCATTTATGTCTGTTGAAATGCTTCAAGTTCAGGAGTCAGTTAGAATAACCAGTAGAGATGTTTCCTTTCTGAAGAGCAGATGTAGGTCGGAGAGAAACATGCGTGGGGCTAGCACGTCTGGTGGAGTCTTACTTGGCCCGTTTTGTTTTGTTTCTAGTGCAATGCAAAGCTAAGTTCCACGCCCCAAGTTTTCATGTCGATGTTCCTGTGCAGTTTGATGTTTATCTAAAGGCTGATTGTCCACATCCCATTCGGTTTTCTAAACTCTGTATCAGCTTTAATAATCAGGTAATGGTAGCTTTTAATCTGATTTTTACCATTTATGTATTGTATTGTAACTTGCATTAGATAAAGTAAAATGAGCTTCGTGAATTTTAGGTCTTAGTAGGTTTCTCACTAACAAGTGTTTGATAAAGTCTATCTAAAAATAAGTGTATTTATAATTTTCAACTTCTGTTTCCGCAATGCAAGTTTTACAGTTTTCCTATTCTAATTTTTGTTTTCACTTCCTGCTTAGGAAACCTATGAACTTTGTCTGTACATAGAGAAAAGTTTTATAATATGTAACTTGAATTTCAAGATATATTCAGAATGAATGTGATCAGATTTTCAAAATCATTTGTTTTATTCTAACATTAGTATTAGCTTTTATTATAAAACTGTTATCTTTTTTATTTTAAAGAAATGAAACTTGAATAGATGGACATAAAGTAAATATGTAAATGTGCTCTTCCTGTTTCATTCCTTTGGGGGCATCACAGTTAACTTCTCAGATAGTTGAAATATCGTATGGTGCCCATATATAAGCAGCTTTTTTTCTACAGAATTGGGATAGTATATTTCTCACATTTGAACATTTTTGTAGTGTGATGCAGGCAAGTGCTTGAGTACATTCTGTTTCAGTTATAAGCCCACTTCTAATTTTCTGGTGACCCAGAGAGTACGTTAAGCTGTTAACCAGCACGCATTTATTGAGAGTTTCTATGTTCTGAGCATCGTGGTGAACCTGAGAAAGTTCAGTGTACGTCAGCCCCCTTGAAACAGAAGCATTCTGAGGGCAAGGGCAGGAGCGAGCCTGGGTCACTTGAAGATTAGTATGTTTTATTCAACTACAGACCATTACCCAAGGATTCCTTCTGATTAATTGGAGAATCTTAAAGCAAGAGCATGAAATTAATGTGTGAGAAACGTAAACCATGATCCTCACTCTTGTCTTTTTCAGGAATACAACCAGTTCTGTGTAATTGAAGAATCATCCAAAGCAAATGACGTTTTAGAAAATTTGACTCAAGGCAAGATGTGTTTAGTTCCTGGTAAAACAAGGAAGTTTTTATTTAAGTTTGTTGCAAAAACTGAAGATGTAGGAAAGAAAATTGAGGTTAGTTATAAAATGTGTTTAAAAAATATTTTCAATGATATAAGTAATAATGAATATGCATCAGAAAGAATTTCAATAATACTTAGGTTTATTAAGTTAAAAATGAAAATCTTCCATTTGGATTTACCAAGGGAAATCATTCATTACAGTTTTTTGATAGATTTCCTTTCAGTGAGAATATATTATACATAATATTTGGTAGTTGGCTTTAAATTGCTAGATAGTGTTGTTAGACATCACTTCCTGTTAACACATGAGACCAACCTTATTTTTAATGCCTGTATAATCAGTTGAGGAATTTTAAACTATATATATCATGTATATCTGTGTGTATATATTTTTTATAATGTGGGCTTCCAGGTGGCACATAGGTAAACCATCTACTTGCCAACACAGGAGATGTAGGAGACCTGGGTTTGATCCCTGAGTCAGGAAGATCCCCTGGAGGAGGAAATAGCAACTCACTCCAGTATTCTTGCCTGGGAAATTCCATGGACGGAGGAGTCTGGTGGGCTATAGTCCATGGAGTCACAAAGAGTCAGATACAACTGAGTGACTGAGCGCAAGCATTCTATAATGTAACAATTATATTTTGTAAAATACGACATAATTCACGCTAAGGTGTGATACCATTTTGATGTTTAAACATTGCTAATTGCATCTTTTTAAAAAGATAGGTACTTTAAAGGATTCATTTAATGTAGATAATTAAAATGTCTTTCAGAAATATATGATGAAACTCATTTTTATTGAGCATAAACTTTGGAGCCAAACTCCACGGGTTTCAGTTCCCACTCTCCAGCTTACCTGTTTGTGGCCCTGGGCAGTTACTTGACCGCTTTTATCACAGTTTATTCATCTGTAAAGTGGGGATAATAGCGTTACCTCCCTCTTAGTGTTTCATGAGGATTAAATCAGTTAGTGTAAATTTCCTGGAACAGTGATTAGGATGGGGTAAGCCTCTCAGGAAGTGTTGCTTTCCCATGGCTGGAGTGGGACAGGTAAGCTAATCTGAACTTGGGACCATTCCTAAGACAGAAACATAAGACGGTACCCCCAGGCTTTCCATAGCAATTTTTGTGAATCTGTTTATTATATAATCTGTAAACCAGTATCTAGAGTTTTTGCTTATTCATTTAAAAAAATTCTTCTTGATTTTGACTAAACCCCTAATGTCATGTTTTAATTTTTTACAAGATACCTAAGGAAGTTTTTAAAAAATTTTAACAAGACAGCTAAGGAAGCCTATCAGATGCAAGTCAAAATTAACAATGCTATTGAATATATTTGTGAATAGATTTAGTGGAAAGGACCTTTATTCAGTTAGTAAAGCATTTCCTTGCTTGTACTGTCGATGTCATCAGGAAAAGTCCGTGTGGAACTAGGAGTTAGGTTAGGAGGAGGTGAGTGGTTACCGGGACATTCGTTAATTTCGCCCAGCAGCCACTCCTTGCGTGTCTGTCCCTCGGGCACCACCCAGGTGCTGCGGTAACAGTGCCGCGCGGTCACGTCTCGGCTGGAGAGCCGGGTTATTGTCCTCGTGTGACGGGGAAGAGGTTGAAACCTGGCGCAGGGTTGCTAGCCGGTGTCCCAGCCAAAGGGAGCCCAGGAGCGGGCTCTCCCAGCCCGCGTTCCGACCTACGTGTCACGTCGTGGGTCCTAGGGACGCCACAGCCCAGCAGCCCACCACCCCGAGACTTCCTGGAAAGGGATGATAACAAACTGTACGAGGTGGCATTTCTGACAGACCTCCTCCTCGCAGATCACGTCCATGGATCTGGTTCTGGGCAGCGAGGCGGGCAGGTGTGTGGTCCTGAACTGGCAGGGAGGAGGCGGGGACGCCGCGTCCGCCCAGGAGGCCCTGCAGGCCTCGCGCTCGTTCAAACGAAGACCCAGGCTCCCCGACAGTGAGGTCCACTGGGACAGCATCGTGATCCAGGCGAGCACCATGTGAGTCGGGCCGCGGGCCGGTCGTGGAAGGTCATCTCACTTCTTTAAATACTTTGTTGTTGTTGTTTTTAGATCAGTTACTCAGCTAGCATTTTTTTCCCCAAAGGATCATTTCCAGAGTTCCAAACATTTCGGTCCATCTGCGACACGATCCCCCTGCCCTGACTAACGAAATGTACTGTTTGGTTGTGACCGTTCAATCCCACGAGAAGACCCCGATCAGAGACGTGAAGCTCACTGCTGGTTTAAAACCTGGTAAACTTCTCTTTTCAAAATTTCATCTGTGTTGATCTAACACAAAATAAGCATCACGGTATTAACTTCAGGAAATCTGTTTTAAAAATGGTTATGATCAAGTGCTCACTCTGCAGTGTTGATTTGCAGGACAACATTTGAATCTTCTTTATTTTTTATTTTATTTTATTTTTGAATCTTCTATATTTTTTAAATGTCAACATTTTGTACTTTCAGGACAGGATGCCAATTTAACTCAGAAAACGCATGTGACTCTTCATGGGACAGAACTGTGTGACGAGTCTTACCCGGCTCTGCTCACTGACATTCCCGTCGGGGACTTACAGCCCGGGGAACAGGTGAGCTCGGCCAGCCGGGACTGGAGAAGAAATGAGTTAGGTTGTAGTGTTAAATATGGAGTGGGTGTTAGACAGCTTTAGCGCATTTTAACAGCACATCCCGAGACTAAACAAGTCATTTAACTAATGCTCATTTTATACACATATTTCACATGTCTCAGGTCAGTTCAGTCGGTCAGTCGTGTCTGACTCTTTGCGACCCCTTGGACTGCATGCAGCCCTCCAGACCTTCCTGTCTATCACCAACTCCTGGAGCTTGCTCAAACTCATGTCCATTGAGTCGGTGATGCCATCCAATGTCATCCTCTGTCATCCCCTTCTCCTCCCACCTTCAATCTTTCCCAGCATTAGGGTTTTTTCAGATGAGTCAGTTCTTTGCATCAGGTGGCCAAAGGATTGGAGTTTCGGCTACAGCATCAGTCCTTCCAATGAATATTCGGGACTGAATTCCTTTAGAATTGACTGGTTTGATCTCCTTGCAGTTCAACAGACTCTCAAGTGTCTTCTCCAACACCATAGTTCAAAAGCATCAGTTCTTCAGCACCCAGCTTTCTTTATAGTCCCACTGTCAAATCCATGCATGACTACTGGAAAAGTCATAGCTTTGACTAGATGGACCTTTGTTGACAGCTTTTTAATACACTGTCTAGGTTGCTGATAGCTTTTCTTCCAAGGAGCAAGTATCTTTTAATTTCATGGCTGCAGTCACCATCTGCAGTGGTTTTGTAGCCCCCAAAAATGAAGCCTGCACTGTTTCCACTGTTTCCCCATCTTTTTGCCATGAAGTGATGGGATCAGATGCCATGGTCTTAGTTTTCTGGATGCTGAGTTTTAAGCCAACTTTTTCACTCTCCTCTTTCACTTTCATCAAGAGGCTCTTTAGTTCCTCTTTGCTTTCTGCTATAAGGGTGGTGTCACATATTTAAATGTATAAAATATCTTCAGCAGTTTTTATACAAGGGATTTTATAACATGATCCTAATATAGGAAATCCATTGCCTGGTAAAATAACTAAATAACATAAACTTTATAACTTCGTGAAAGAACCTTTCAGTCAACTTTTATTTCCAAAGCAAACACAGAGTTCACGAGAAGTTGAGAATGATAATAGAAAAAAAGATGGTGTGATAATGACCCCACTCTTAGGCTGTGGCAGGAACAGCTATAAAAAAGTGTTCAGGTGTTTTCCCAGTTAGTGCAGTAAACTCTGGAAGGTGGGAGCATTATCCTAGAATATATATCAGGAGACAGTCTCTGTAATATTAATTAAAATACTTGTATGTTGTTGCAGCTGGAGAAAACGTTATACTTTCGCTGTGGAACAGTGGGCTCAAGAATGTTTCTTGTGTATGTTTCTTACCTGATCAATACAACTATTGAAGGAAAAGAAATTGTTTGCAAGTGTCACAAGGTACTTTTTTCATGGCGACTTTGAGAAATATCATATGTGGAGTGTTTTTCTGTTTGGTGTTATTTTATTTAACTTGTGAAATGAGCAGCTTAGGTGATCATAGTGTCCTCCCAGCCCAACAGAGGAGGAGACCCAGAAATCTGGGGGTTTGTAGTTTGGTCACTGCAGAGAGGGCTCTGAGCTCTTTTAAAAGTCACTGGGAAGCAAAGATAAATAAAAGCCCATTGTTTTGTGAACAGACCCTTGCAGAGGAGATGGAACAGGTGGGTTAAGAGTCCAGACTCCAGGGTCAGATTCTGTTCAGCTTCTGCCTTTGTCACCTACTAGCTTTGTGGACCACTGCCCCGCCGCCCCCCCGCACCGCCCATCTTAAAGCAGCAGTAGTACTGACATCTGTTTTCTTGAGTTACTGTGAGCATTACAGTACATGTACAGTGATTATAAGGGCTTTCCAGGTGGCTCAGTGGCAAAGAATCCACCTGCCCATGCAGGGGACACAGGAGAGTAGACCCCTGGGTCGGGAAGCTCCCCTAGAGGAAGAAATGGCAACCCACTGCAGTGCTCTTGCCTGGACCGTCTCATAGACCGAGAAGCCTGCCGGGCCACAGTTCACAAGGTTGCAAAAGTCAGACACGACTGAGCACACACGGTGATGCTGTCACATCACATCATTGCTGTTATCATCATCCTCGTTCTAGTCACCTTGAGTCAGAGTGAAGTAAGGGACTTAGATAGAAAGAAGACCCAGATTCTAGGCCTCATACCACTAGCTTCATGGCTTAAGGCCAATTGCTAAATCTTTAACTTTTGGTTCCTCGTCTGTGAAATGGTGATGACGCCTGCCCTGCCCACTGTTGCTGGATCCTGCCATAAATAATGTATGAGAAAGCACTCTGCAGGGTGAACTGTTACACAGCCATAGATACCTTGTTAGAAATGTTAACTTGGACTCTCTACATAGGTTTTTACAAATATTGTCTAAGGGAAAGGTCCTAGTTTTGTCATATTTAAGTTGGGATTATTTATTGATCAGTAATTGATTGGTGTTCTATAATTTTCTTTTGTTAAGACTAAGAAAAGCCATCGATGTGCCCTTTCCGTTTCCTTGTAGGATGAAACTGTAACAATAGAAACGGTCTTCCCGTTTGATGTTGCCGTTAAATTTGTTTCTACAAAGGTATGTCCTGGGAAGCATATTGGAAATCACTTAGCTGATAGAAATTAACAGAAAAAAGGAAATGGGTCAGTGTACTTCCTGACAGACCTTTGTCTCCACCTGCAACAGTTCGAGCACTTGGAAAGGGTTTATGCGGACATCCCCTTCCTGCTCATGACCGACCTGCTGAGTGCCTCCCCCTGGGCCCTCACCATCGTCTCCAGTGAGCTGCAGCTTGCTCCCTCCATGACCCCCGTGGACCAGCTGGAGTCCCAGGTGGACAGAGGTGCGAGTGTGGCTCATCCCCCTTCACTAGCAGAAGACAGTGGGGGGACAGTTAGCATCGTTTGCAGTTGACCTTGTTTTAAAGGATCGGATTCTTGATACTCTAAAAAGTGACTAAGAAATGTACTTGAAAATACAGTACTTTTTCCTGTTTGGATTTTTAATAGATTGGTTTTTTCTAATTTGTTTTTAATTGATGTTTACTGCTGTTTATAGTTTGAAAAGGGAAAAGGTGTTTATCAAAGAAACTTTGGAAAACAGAAAAGTAGACAAATTTTCTAAATCATCCAACTAAAACAGTTTATAGAGGAGATAATACCTTTCTGGTTCAGGGTACTTTAGGCTTTCTTGTATTTCTTAAAAGGAATAAAAACTAGTTTGAATGTTAGCCCAAGCAAAATTGTGCTCAGCTGGATTATAAGGGCAAATATTGTGAGGGAAAAAAATCACGATGTAGTCTTAAGACCAAACGTGTGGGTGGGTCGCTCAGTCGTGTCGGACTCTTTGCGACCCCATGGACTGTGGCCCGCCAGGCTCCTCTGTCCATGGAATTCTCCAGGCAAGAATACTGGAGTGGGTAGCCATGCCTTTTGCCATGGGATTGTCCCGACCCAGGGATCCAACCTGGGTCTCCTGCATTTCAGGTAGATTCTTTACCATCTGAACCAACAGGGAAGTCCAAGACCAAATATAAGCAGGTTATTTTAGTTGCTCTGGTTGCCTGTCTTCCTTGAAAAAGTCATTTAACTTCTCCAAGTCTCTATAGATGATATACAAAAAATTGATAAGGTGTCCTTTTTTTGTTACATTACGTGGATATAAAGCCCTCTGTTTATAGATGAGATGGTTGTGGAGGATTATAAAGTCTCTGTCTTGCAGTTGTCTTGCAGACTGGAGAGAGCGCCAGTGAGTGCTTCTGTCTCCGATGCCCGTCAGTTGGAAATGTTGAAGGCGGAGTAGCAACCGGGCATTATATTATCTCCTGGAAGAGGTAAGTCTGTGTCTGCCCTGCCTTTTCTCCATTATTTGCGTCATTCTCGTGCCTTTATTGTGCGTCACTGTCAGTTATAGTTGACAGCTTCTGCCAGCCTGTAGAACAGGCTAGAAGCTACATGCTGCCACTGACCATTTGTCAAAAACACACAGATTGATAAGGTTAACTTTCGTTCGTGTTTGTTACAGTTTGTGATCTATATACTGACGAGATTTTAGCCAAGTTCTGATGACAGGACCAGTGAAAGCATTAGGAGAAACTGCCCTCATTTGCAGTCAGTGGGACTGTTTGCACAGAAAACCCAAGGGGATCAACAGATTATTAGAATTATAGTTTCAGCAAGACTGCTGTGGATATAGCATCAGTATACAAAAATCAGTTGGATTTCTATATATCAATAATAAACCTCAAGGCAAAGTACTTATAAAACAGGTATCATTTATGTAATAGCAAAATGATGAGAAACATATCTGGTAGAAGATATATATTACCTTTATGGAAAAAATTATAAAAATTTAAAACATTCAAGGAAGACCTAAAGAAATGGGAGAGGTACAAAGTAGTCTCTGATAGGACTTGGATAAGATTTAATATTATAAATTGTCTGTAGATTCAGTGCAATTTCCTTCAGGATCTCAGCAGCTTGTTTTGTTTCTGTGGAACTTGACACTCTCAGATCTAAAATTTGTATAGAAAGGTCAAATGTCAGTAATCGTCAGAATTTCTCAGAAGAGGTACAGCTAGGCAAGAGTACTTAGCCATTCAGATTTTAAGACTTTTTATAAAGCTACAGTGGTCATCACTATGATGTGGGCTCAGGGAGATGTATAAATAAACCAGTGGAACAGAAGAGCGCATCTAGAAATTGTTCCACAGATCCACATAGAGAAATTATGTTTCATAGCGGTAGCGTTGTTATCACTGGGGGAAGGATGAACTGTTTTATAATTGGTGGTAAACAACTAAGTATTGACTTGGGGAGAAAATGGGATATCTGTTGTGCATTGTGTATGAAAATTAATTTCAGATTTATTGAAGTTCTAATTGTAAAAAGCAAAACTTTACTACTTTTAGGAGAAAAATAAGAATCATAAAAATAAAAGAATCAAAAAAAAATAAGAATCATAAAAGACTTTGGTGTAGGGAAGAATTTCTTTAAATAAGACACTAGAAGTATGAGCCTCTAAAATTGATGAATTTGATTTCTTAAAATTAAGTTTTTCAGTTCATTAGAAAATGCCATGAAGAATGTGAAAAGATAGTACAAAGTGGGGAAAGCTACGTACAACATCTGAAATGAACAAAGGATTCGAATTCAGATCAAGAACTTTTTCAGATCATTAAAAAGAAACATCTAAACTGAAGGTTGAGAAAAATACTTGAGTTGGCAGAGTGATCAGGAGAAGCTGAATGGTCAGTAAACACAGGGGAAAGAAGGTCAGCCTTACAAGTAATCTGAGATTTGTGTACTCCCACTACTTGGCAAAAATAAAGAGGTTTAACAATGCAAAGTTTGTCACGAGGGGAAGGAAAATTAGAATGCTGCTCTGGAAATCTGTTTGGCATTACCTGGTAAGCTAATGACTATACCATGCAATCCTAGAAAAGATTCAAACATACAGGAAGGGGACATGGGTGGGAATGTTCATAGCAGCACTGTTTATAATGAAAAATTAGAAACAACCTGAATGCCCACCAACAGGAAGTTAGGTAAATTGTGGCACAGTTGTACAGTGGAATATTATATATCAGTGAAAATGAAGGAACCAGAGCTACAGCTATCAGCCTGTTAATGTTAAATGAAACAAAGCAACTGCATATGTCCAGGATATAAACAAATTGTGCAGAATTGGAAAACATGTAAAACATATGCTTCCTAGGCTGTATGTATAATTTGGAAAAGCATAAAGAAATACCCAGGAATGATGGATGCCAAATTCAAGCTAGTAGGTACTTTTGGAGCAGAGGATTGGGGGGGGGGTCCAAGCAGGAATGGGTCCACGAGAAGCTTCAGCCCTGTCATTACGTTCTCTTAGACTAGGAGATGGATACATGGCATTTCATGTGTTATTTTCTTGTGTGGCTTAATTATTTTATAAATCTTAAAACTAAGTATTAAAAATAAGAAAGAAAAAATAATTTTCTTAAAAAAATTAGCTTGTCTTTCTTTCCACACTCCTGAACTTACCAAGTTGATGTTTAGCTTAGTTCACATTTGTAGATGTTAAAACAGTGTTTTGAAGGCACTGTTTGGTTGACTCTGTCATGTCACTGTAATACCGTAAAGACGCATCTGTCTTAAGAGTGAGGGGTTGGCTGTGTTTGCCCGTGGCGTTTGCTCAGTAGTGTTTTGCACTTTTGAAACAGTGCCACCTGTTTCAACAGGTGCCATCTCTGCACACAGGCTCTTCCCACGGGTTGTCAGAGAGTTGCCAGCTGCCCCTGTGGGTCCCACCCTGACTGTCCTGCAGGGAAAGTAGCCGACCGTTTCATAGCGCTACTCACTCTGTCTCAGTGGTGTTGGAATGCCACTGTGTCGGCTGACAGTGAAGTATTTTTAGGTCTTCAGTCTCTCCTGCACGCCCCCAGCGCTGTCACAGCAGCGCGTGTCCAGTGGCCTGGCCCCTCCGGGGACGGTCCCCAGTGTGAGGAGGCGGCGTGTCGTCACGTGACACCACCCTGCTGCCGACTGAGGACGTTTTGCTACCAGAACGCTGGGTTAGATGGTGTGCTGTGTGGTGCAGTTGACTTACGTTCTGACGCGAGTCCTGACTTCATCACTGAGACCAAACTGCAGCTCGCTCTTTGGAAGTTCTCCAAAGTGGGATTGGAAAAGCTCCTGCTTCACAAACTCCTTCCATTAACCCTTTAGAAAAGGGGTCATTTGTGTTTGCTTTGTAGTGAGTTGGTGAATACCCATGTTCCCTGGTTTTGACGCATTTACTTCTTGCATGAAACGTGGACTTAAGTGGCTTCTCTTCTGCTGTAGGACTTCAGCCATGGACAGCGTCCCCGTCATCAGCACCGTCATCACCCTGCCCCACGTGATCGTGGAAAACATCCCTCTCCACGTGAACGCAGGTGACCCCACTCACATTTTATTTGAGCTAAGGAATCCAATGAGAATATTTATTTTAGCTTCTAAGATTTTTTTTTCTAACTTTCCCCATTACGAGAAATGCCTACTATTTACAAAAAGGAGATTGTGACCAGTCTTGTTTTATCTATACCTCTACACACCCCTCCTGCCCTCATCATTTGGAAGCAAGTGCCGGGATGTTATTTCATCTATAGAGATTTCAGTATGCATCTTTAATGTCACTGGCTATTTTTCTAAACATAATCACAGAGTCATTATGATAACTTTAAAAATTAGCAATGATTTTGCACTATGATCAAATTCCTGTGTTGAAATTTCCCTAGCTGACTCTGAATGTTCTTCATAGTTTGTTACAAGGCCTTTGCATTGCTGTTGATTGGCATCTGGTGATTAGACTCTTAAAATCGCTAGGCAGGCAGGCAGCCTCTTCCCTACTGCACTGCCTCTACCCCGCCACCAACTCCTCTACCACCTTCACCTCCCCCCTCGTTTCCTTGATGTTCATTTGTTGCAGAAACTGTCCTTCTCCTGTAAAGCTGCTTACAGTCTGGATTTGCTGACTTGCATTGTGTCATTTTTAAGTATTTCTCTGCCCCTATAAATTAGTAGCTAGATCTGTGCATGTATGTGTGCTCAGTCATGTCTTCATGACCCCATGGACTGTAGCCCACCAGGCTCCTCTGTCCATGGGATTTCCCAGGCAAGAATGCCAGAGCAGGTTGCCATTTCCTCTTCCAGGGGATCTTCCCAACCCAGGAATCAAACCTGTGTCTCCTGCATTGCAGGCATATTCTTTACCACTGTGCCACCTGGGAATCCCAGTTAGATCTCTAGTCTTGATCAAATTCAGGTTAAAGGTTTTGACAAAAAGACATCATAGTTTCCACCAAGGGACCCATAATGTCTGTCATCCCTTCTCGGCCATTATTGATATTTAGGGAAATTTTTTGTAGGCTTAAGAAATTATTCCTAAAAGGTAATTCAGCTCTTGGTAGCCGAGACCCTTTCTGAGCCAAATCAGTTGTAGAAGGATTTTGATTCTTCTTAGCCTGCTTTATCATAGCCCTGTGGCTGTTTTCCAATCAGAGAATTTTCTTATTTAATAACAGTGTGGTGCTCTCATTAATTTAAACAATTCCATGCCTATGGAATGAAATTTATTTACAAAAGGAACCCATGAATGGTGAGCTTTGTTGTTTTTTTTTAACCAAGAGAAATGTCACCTCTGCAGATCTGCCATCGTTCGGGCGTGTCAGAGAGTCGCTACCTGTCAGGTATCACCTGCAGAATAAGACGGACTTAGTTCAAGACGTGGAGATTTCCGTGGAGCCCAGCGATGCCTTCATGTTCTCAGGGCTTAAACAGGTACAGGTTGTATCTGACGGGGTTGCTTGTGAAGACACAGGAGTGTGGCCAGAAAGTGGAGAGCTGTCAGAAATGAATTGATAAGTTTGACTGTGGTCCCTCTTGTTTTGATAGTGGTGAATCTTAAGTCACTTTTGAAGATTAATTACAACTTGCTGTAGAAGTGGGTTAAATGGGCCACCCTTTGCATATTGAGATCACATATAGAGGTTCTTTATCCATATAAAATAAGAGTTCACAAATCCTTGGACAATAATAGAATCCCTGAAAATTTTTAAATATTCCTTTTATTGCTAAGGAGTTTGTGCGTGTATCTTTTAATCTGAGACCTTTTGAAGTATAACTGCACAGATTAAAAGCCTAATTCGCTTCTAAACTATCAGTATAATTTTTTAGAGATTTTGATCCTGCATAGAATATCTGTGTTACGTGTAGGCACAATTTTGTATCTACATAGAAAAATTCATGATTCAGATGTTTTGCTTCATCTGTTCATATCAGAGGTGGAAAAGTTCATCAGATTTTTGGGTGGAACATACTCCCAGGCAAAACCATGTTTTCAGTAAGAATACTGTCCTCCTGTGTCAACGTGGCAACAGAGACACACCTCAGTGGTCAGCACATGCTTTTTATTATTAATAATGAGGGTGTAATTAGAGTGCAAACTTGTAATAACACCAAGTAGTATTCACCCTGAGTCAGCCATCTGGCTGGCATGTCCTGAGTGCGGTGTTTGCTGTTAAATGAGTGTAGAATTACACGTGAAGTGTACAATAAGTCTGTACATGGATAGAGATTTATAATATTACTGTATACCAAGTATAATGTTGGCTGTAATATGTTGGTTCACACACACATATATTATCTCTGACTCATCACATACCTTTATGTACTCACTTGCAAATAAGTAAGCTTTTCTTGATTGTCCTGATCTCTTTCACGTATTGACTTAAAAATAATTAAAGTACCGAAAATCTTACCAGGTGCTGCTCTTTCCTGAAGTACAAACATCTTTTTTTCGCCCTGAAGTTACTTACCTTACCAGAAGTGTAAAATCCCTGAGACAAAACACAGGAAACAACCAGCTCCTCTCATATCGATGTAATGTTTACAGAGATGCCCTTTTCCACATTATCCCTTCGAGCACTGTGGCTGTAACCTGCCTGGTCTGAGACACAGGAAGAGCTGAGCTCTCTAGTGTTTGCGTTGTTAAGCCAGTACAGATTGCCTTCTGCGTGTTGGTAGAAGCTGAGAAACCGTGCGCATGTCTGTATTACATGTTGCCTGCGTGGTTCTGGCCTCATTAATTCAGCCCTACATTTTGGGGTCTGTCTGGAAGATGTATGAATAGGAGAGGGTGCAAATGTTTCTCCAGAAAGACTTAAGTGTCTGATCATTTGCCAGAATTCAACCGGTAACAGCATGTAGCTGTTGCAAGTTTATTTGATACATGGATTTGCTTATCTTTTTCTGTCACTTCTGTGATTTAGATTCGATTACGTATCCTCCCCGGCACGGAACAGGAGATGTTATATAACTTCTACCCTCTGATGGCTGGGTACCAGCAGCTGCCGTCTCTCAACATCAACTTGCTCAGGTTTCCCAACTTCACAAATCAACTGCTCAGGCGTTTCATCCCAACCACTATTTTTGTAAAGGTGAGGCTTAGACATTTTCTGCTTTTTATTGTCTTGGAAACAAAGGCAAGTAGATGTTTTTTCACGTCAGTCAGTTCAGTCGCTCAGTTGTGTCCGATTCTTTGTGACCCCATCGACTGCAGCACGCCAGGCTTCCCTGTCCATCACCAACTTCAGGAGCTTGCTCAAACTCATATCCATCGAGTCAGTGATGCCATGCAACCATCTCATCCTCTGTCGTCCCCTTCTCTTCCCACCTTCAATCTTTCCCGGGATCAGGGTCTTTTCAAATGGGTTGGTTCTTCTCATCAGGTGGCCAAAGTATTGGAGTTTCAGCTTCAGCATCAGTCCTTCCAATGAATATTCAGGACTGATTTCCTTTAGGATGGGCTGATTGGATCTCCTTGCAGTCCAAGGGACTCTCAAGAGTCTTCTCCAACACCAGAGTTTTTTCATGTAAACTTCACTAAATAGTATTTGAGACTAGCAATGTTAGCATTTTGACTGTTACTACATAAATTCGGCAGTATTGCTATTTGTTTCTTATTAAGTTATTATCAATTTTTTATTTTCTGTTTTATAGGTTTTTTTTAGATCTAATTTTAAAGATTTTTATTCCTTTGGGCAAATTAAAATTTATCTTGATGGCATCCTTAAACATGTGTTTCCTTTGGCTTAGTAAAATATATTTCTATTTTTGTTTTTCTTTTAAAATTTTTTAATTTTATTTTATAATTTATTTTTTAGAAATATATATTTTAAATTGTAGTTAATTTGTAACTAGTTTTTAATCAAAATGGATTAATTTTCTGAATACAATCCCTGAACTTTTCTGATTCTAATAACTCTGTAATGCTACTGGATTTGGATCTTTTCTAAAAATGATCACCAGTCAGAAACTATACTCTGGTTTAATGTTTTGATTTTTTTAAACAGTGATATGATTTCCAGGTTCCTGTTCTTTGATTGACCTAGTCTTTCATTCATTCCATTCCTGCATTGAGCTTCAGTTGCCTTACACACACATGCATGCATGTGTATCTACATTTATGAAGCCTCCCAGCAACAGAACAGAGCAGGAGAGCCCCTTCACTGCCTCAGGGAACCCCCAGAATCATCTGCTTAAATCACAGCCGCCGACCTGTGGTGCTGCGGTTCTAACGCTGGTCTATTGCCTCTCCTGCTCTCTTTCTGCTAAAGTCCGTCAGCATAATAAGGTCATTTGCAGGAATCTCATTCTTTTAACTACTTCATGACTCTCTGGGGTATCGCTGACTTGTCAGAAACTTTACACCTAAAAGCAGTCACGATACCTTTTATTCACTCTCAGCTGTTCCTCTTCCGATGTCATGTTTCAAATTTTTTCAGTCAGTGAGCTTCGAGAAAGGGGCATTCTGTGCTTATCCACCACTTCAGTCCTTGCAGTATTTGTAGTTACTCACCGTAGAGTTCATGATGCATCACTCTTTTCCAAACAGGAGAAGGGGAGCCCTTGAGTCCCAAGGAGCTTGCTGGCAGCGCAGGTTTGTGGCCCGCTTGGAGCCCGGGACACAGGCTGAGCACGAGAGGGAGGCTAAAGCTTTCCCACTCGAGCGGGAGTGGGGGCTAGGCGCCCTGTCGCACGCGTACACTGCCGGGTGGGTGGCAGCTGCAGGTTAGGGGGCGAGGGGACTCCACGGGCAGAGGATGTGATGCGCTGGTGAGCTTGCCGCTAGGAACAGGGAGCGGGCCGCACAGAAGCTGTGAGGTCACCATCCCCAGGCTCCCGTGGCGAGAGAACGTGGGGGGAAAGAGACAGATGGGAACTTGCACACGTTTATTCTGTGTCCGCGAAACAGTTCCAAGTACTTGCAGGCCCTCTCCAGTTAACAGCGCTTCTGTGGTCATTCTTACTGTGCACACCCTCCTTGTTTTCCCCTCCGAAGCCACAGGGCCGGCTCATGGACGACGCCTCCATCGCGGCCGCGTGAGATTCAGGATGGGCCTCAGCTGTTCTCACTGAGAAACTGGACAGAACTGTGTGATTGTTTCCTGGTGAGCTGTACTTGATCATGGTACAGGTTAATCTTCTCTACTTTTTAACGGATGTTACACCAACTCTTCAGAGGAAGTCATGCTAAAATATTAGGAAAATCTCTCTTCTAGTTTGACTAATAAATATTTGAAATCTGTCAGAGTGATGTGAAAGGGTGTTAGCCCTTTGTTTTTGTTGAAAGTTGTCTTACGGACGCGGGCATCTTCACAGTAAGGGGGTTTGTATGTGCAGTAGCCGAGGAAAGTTAAGTCTCTGAAATATGCCTGGACAAGGGGAGCCATGCACCAGTGTCTAGAAAGCTTGGAATCCCCGTGGGTGTCTTTGAGAGATGGCTAAACCAGAAATAGAATAGAATAAATCTGTTCTCATGCATCTAATGTGTGCTCAGAGTCCATACACAGGAACAAGAAAGCAGTCACGTGACTGACAGAGACAACTTCGAAAAAAGTTTTAATGAAAGCAGTGTAAGATGTCTAAGAAAAAATAACCTTTGCTTACCACCCAAACATTTCAGATAGGTTCTGCTTGCTTGATTTGTTTACGAAGCAGGTACATCAACAAGATCCTCACCTGTCAGGATCTGAACTGCAAGATGCTAAACATAATCTCCTAAACTGAAAGTTTTAGAGAAAGATGCATGGTCTAAATCTAAAGGTGTACAGCTTTTAGTTATGTCATGCAGGTTGAAAAGAACTGTTTAAAACTTTTGAAAATTCATGTACCTAAAAAAAACATATTGTGAAAATCCTCTGTTAAAATATCTTAATTTAAAACTCCCCCATTATCCAGAATTTTTTATTATTTAAAAGCACAGGAGCTGTAAAAAGGAAAAGAATGATGTAAATAAATAGCTTTCTCTTTCAGACCTGCTTGTATGTGTCTTTTATTTATTTTGAGCTTGTTGGATAGCTGCTCTGTGGAGCGGCTCTTGCTGGGAAACACCGTTGCAGAGGTGTGTGTGGTGGGGGTGTGTTGTGCAGCCAGGGGCCGTGATGGGCTGGGGGGATCTGAGTTCCCTGCCGCCCCGCTGCTCAGGGGGAGACCACGGGAGCCTGTCAGATTGTCCCAGGGCCAAGGCCCAGGTCTGGAGGCTTTGTTCACGTCGCCCTTTGTGTGCGTCGTCTTCTCACCTGGGAGACACGGATGATGTGATGATGATACCCTCTGAGACGCATGTTATGAGGATGATAAAAATTAAAAACACGGAGGGACTGTAAACAAAAATGCCATGAAGTAGTGTTTTCTCCGTGCTCTTTTATGTTATATCCTACTCTGTCTTGTTAAAAGATGTTCCTGGTGTAACGAATTGATTTCATGACTCACTAACAGGATGTAACCTGCCGTTTGAAAAATCACAGGTGTGTCTGACGCCGTACTCACATAATAAACGTCTCCTGTGTGTACACCGCCATTGTCAGACACGAAGTATCCAGGGCGTGTTAGGACATGTGGCTCTCCAGCATCCACTTTAGCATCACTAGCCTTGATGTCAGTGTGATCTCTGTGAGTGCAAATACACCACATAAATCGGCCTGTGCTTTCCCTCAGTAGCGTAATCCTTTCTCAACCAGGAATCGTCCCAAGTTGTTCATTTTACTGCAAATGTATTCCATTTACTTATTTTAAATTACAGCAAATTTTAATTCAGAAATACATGAAATAGTGATCTTGCCTGGGTTCCCCAAACAGAGCTATCACAGCATTGCAGGAGCCATTGACTCGGTGAGGTTACAAGTGCCCAGAAGGACCATAGAACCTTCCGCTCGGAGCCTCTGTGCTTCAGCCACAGCCCCTCTGTCCCTCCTGAGAGGCTCCTGTCTCCTCTCTGAGTCCTGTGTCACCATATGGGTCTCAACTATTATCCTTACCAGTACTACACACCACTCTGGGGGACCCATTTTTAAATAAAGCATTTAAAACTTGGGCTTTGGGGGAGTGACTAAAGTTTGCTTTCTGATTCTTGTAGGAAAGCACTGGTTTTTAATCAGTGTGGCGTGTTACCAAGAGGATGCGGACGGTGATGTCTTTGGAATAAAAATAATTTCTAGTTTGCTTCATTTTATATTTTTATGATCCTAAAATTACAACTTCAACTCAGTTTTCCTCATAAAGTGTTAGGTTCCTTATCTTTGAATTCTTCTTTTTAAGGGACTGTATGTATGGTTCATGGCTCTTAGATTTTTTTATTTTTTTAATGTCTTCACCTTACTTGAAAAAAAGATTCTTTTGTTCTCATTCTGTCATTTCTTTCAAGGCCCGTTCATAACTCCACCCAAGAATATGAAAAGCCTGTCTTCTTGATGTCCCTAACAATAGCCCTAAAGAGTTCTGAGCTGTAATTTCCACATTGGCATTACAAAGAAAGAGGGGGGGTGCTTTCAAGGAAAAAAAAAGTGGGAAAATTAAACTCACTCTTTTAATGAGGAGGGTCTATGTAGTCTCCACATGTACCTTTCTGAAGCTTCCTCTCTTGACCTAAAACCCCAGAAAAGGCACCCAAAGTGTCCCAACTCCTAGTACTTTTTACACTAGGTAAAAAAAAATGCAGAAGATGGATTGTGTTATTTACTGGTTGAGAGAATGGATGATAACGGCTATAATTTTCAGGAAGCGGTTAGGTGCGACATTAGTGATTAGAGATTGTTGACTGAACATGTGATAGCAAATAGAAACGTGACTTCCTCTAGCTGTGGATTTGTGTTCTGAAACATTTCCACCAAGGGATCCTCATGCCATCCTTTGATGAGTGAACCCCACGGCCACCATCTTCTTTGTGTTTTAGTCAACACAGCTACTGAAGGGCTGCATACAATTCGCCAAATGAGTATAAAACCCTGTGTTTTCATGCACGAGAAAAGAAATTCTTGGCTTAAGTACGTTCAGGTTCTCTTCCAAGGTCAAATTGGTGAGAAACTTTCCCTTCCACTCAATTTACCTGTGCCTGAGAGCGAAAGAGACAGTGATCACCGGGCCTTTTGTGTCTGCTTTCTGAAGCATGTTTTACCAGAGTCAGCCCTGCCAGGCACGCCTGCGTTTCCGGTGACATATACTGTGCAAATGATAGGTTGAGCCATGTTTTAAATTCTAGTTTCTCCGCAGTTGTTCAGAGAATGCAAAACTCAGCCACCTTGAAGCTGGTTTTTCATTTACAGAAAACACTTCTCACGCAGAATCTATCAGCCTGCCTGGCATGTAAGAACTTGCAAATGCTAATCTTTATTAGGTTGGCCAGGATTTCTAAACCATGTATGTTTCCCAAATGATAATTGCCAATATTTATTGAGGGCTACAGAGTACCAGGTGATTTTTGGTCTTAACCTCATTTGTTTAATACTCCAAAAAGCCCAGTGTGAAGTAGATAACTATTATTATCCCCATTTTAAAGATGTGGAAACTGAGGCACAGAGAGTTTAAGTAACTTGCACAATATTCTGGTTATCACTGCACAACAAATCATCCCAATACTTGGTGGCCTAACACAATCATTTTTTATGGTGTCAGGGGGTCGGGAATTGAGGAAGGGCTTGTCTGGGCAGTTCTGGTTTGGGTTCACTCATGCAGCTGTTCGCTTGGCAGTAGATGAAGTAGAAATAGGATGGTGAGAGCAAGGAAGCTGAAGCAGCTTGGGGTTAGCCAGGCATCTCTCCGTGTAGTCTCAGGACCTTTCCAGGTGGTCTGTGGGCTTCCTCGCAGCATGGCGGTCTCAGAATGCTTGGATACTCACATGTCGTGGATGGTGCAGCCAGGAATACAGAAGCCGCATTCCCTTCCAAGACCTGGCCTTGGACAGCACAGAACGTCACTTCCACCATGCTCACAGGCACATCCACCTTTAAGAGGAGGGAACATGAATGCTATCTCTTGCTGGGGAAATGGCCACATCCTAGAAGAACAGCGGGGACAGGAGAGCTCACTGCAATCTTTGGAAAACACAACCTGTCTTACCCAAAGACACGGCACGTGGTGGAAGAGCTGGGATTCAAATCAAGGACCTCTGTCTGCAGAGCCCACATGCTGAACCTCCACGCTGCGCAGCCGCCGCTCTAAGGCTGCCAGTGTTTGCTCCGAAACAGATGAGCTTTGGCTAAATACGGGCTTGAGGACTGAGCCACTCCGCACTCTGTGACCGAGACCTGTTCTTAAGTCTATGGCAGCAGCGCTGTTGCCCTTACTTACACATTGACTTCCAAGTGTTCAGGGTGCTCGCCATGGGCCAGTTTGTGTTTCAGCGACTAAAGCATAAAGCAATCCTCTTCCTGAGGACAGGCAGTCCAGCCCGAGATGCTGCCATGCGATGAATGCAGTAGATGTGGGCAAAAGACCGGTGAACTGATGAGATGTGTGGGAATGCTCCAGAAAATTAAATTAAATTAAATTAAATTTAAATTTAAAATGCTCCAGAAAACAAAATCAAAAACCGGAAGACAACCTAGGTCAGCAAGAAGTGGATGAAACAAGATTTGAAAAACGTTGATCATTCTTTAAAAGTAGGTAAAGGGTGCCTAGGGACTGTACTTTTGAATATGTCTGCAATTTTCCATGATAAAAAAATTCATAAAAGATTCAAGGTAGAGAGGCACCCCAGTGGAGGTGATTACAGGGTGTGAGTGAGGAAGCAGCAGAGAGGAGGGCTCACTCCTGGAGTGACGCTGGAGTGGCTTCCATGTCCCTAAACTACCCGGAGTGTTTCCTGTATGGGAATGCGTTTCCATCACTCCTGAACCGACAACGTTACGGGAGCTGGGTTTTGAGGACATAGTTTGTAAACTAGACAGGTCAGGTGCTGGCTGGTGTCAGGTCCTGCCCACCTCCTCGCATGCCAAGCTCTCTCAGTGTAGACAGACGTGCACCACTGAGTGACGCTGGCTTTGTTTTCCCTACCCGAGAGGTTCACATTCAATGATGAGAGAATTAGGGGAGGAATGAAACCCACTGAAAACTGAAAGAACGCTCGCTGCTGTCAGCACTGTTGCCTCTGGAGAGCAGGGCTTTTTCTGTTGGAATTTGATCATTTTGAACAAAGTCTGTCTTCTTGTTAGTTGTATAGTGCTCTCATCGGAGTATTGAGGAGTTGTGGCTTGAAAAATGTTTGACCCTAGGTGATAATCAAAAACCATAGTCTCAACAAAGGACTGAATCCCAAATGCCCAACTTACCAGGAAACAGTAAGGAGCCCTTACATTCATGATGTGTTTAAATACTGAATTGTTTAAACACAGGATAGCTCATGTGTTTATCAGAGGTGTTAGTGCCTACAAGTTGTTCAGACTACATTTGCAATATTTTCTGTGCTTGTAATTGCTACCGCTTAATTCATTTCATTTTTTTAATAGAGAAAATTTCCAAACATACACAAGAGAAGAGGCTGCAATACACCTCCCTGTGTCTACTCAGCTCTGTAACCATTCGTACTTGGCTATCTACCATCTACATAGCACTGTACCGACATCTATTCCCCTATTATATAATTTCACCCATAAATAAAAGGACTTTAAAAAAAACATATAATGCATTATTACATCTAATGAGTTGCCAATAATTCCTTAGAAGTTGCCTAATATACAATATATGTTCAATTTTCCCTAATGGACTAAGCAGTCATTTTACAGTTGGTTTGTTTCAATCAGCATCCTAACAAGGTCCATCATTATGTTTAATCATGTCCCAAGGCTTTTTTAAGCTTCATTTAATGTAGAACAGTCCCTTCCCCACTTCTGTTCCTTATTATTGACCTGTTGAAGAAACAGGGTCAGCGTCTTGTAAACTAGTCCTCACCCTGGTGTTGGCCGGTTGCTTCCCACGGTGTCATTTGGCTTGTTTCTCTCTTCCTTGGATTTCCCGTGGGCTAGGAGTTAAGAGTTTAGAGCTTGCCTGAGTCCCTTTCTACCTACCTCCTCCCCTGCCCCATTTTTTTTTTTTTTTTAGGAATATCTCACAGTTGATCTGCTGCCTATCTATTGCCACACAGATCTGATTGCCTCACTTTTAGGGATGCTAAAATAGATCAGTGGGCTTACAGGATGACAGCTTAATCCCTTTATTATAAGGTTCAGCTAAACCTCCATCAATGGCAATTGTCTGAATCAGTCACTTAATTAGAAGTTGCAAAATATAATTTTAATATACTGGCCTGCATTTATTGGCTAGAATATGCTGTCGAGAAGCATTCTTCCCCCTCACCCACTAGGTCTATGTAATTACTCTAATAAATAGTTCCTATAGGAAAGAAAAGAATTTTTAATAACTTGATTCTTTCTCTTTGTAATTTTCAGGATAATGAGGGGTGCCTTAACTAACTCTTTGTTAACCAAGAGCTTTGATTTTTGTTTTGGTTTACTGGTCCTCTCCTTTTCTCCTTTCTTCTTATGAAATAATCATGTAAACAAAAGACTGCAAACAGGGGAGTTGGTGTGAGGACTTTCTGACATTTTGGTGGCAGTTGTCACCTTCTCTATAGGGACACATATAGTGCCTTCCATCTGGCTTCATCTGAACAGAGGGATTCTTTTTTTTTTTTTTAACTTTATTTATTTCATTTTGGCTATGCTGGATCTTCTTGCAGTGCATGGGCTTCTCTTGTTACAGGGCATGGGCTCTCGAGTGTGGGGTCAGTAGTTGCGGTGCTTGGGCTTAGTTGCCCCGTGGCATGTGGGATCTTAGCTCCCCCGCCAGGGATGCAACCTGTGTCCCCAGTCTTGGAAGGCAGATTCTTAACCACTGGACCACCAGGGAGGTCCCCAGAGGGATTCTTACACCTGTGGTTACCTCTGTAAAGCTTCTGCTTTGAAAAGTAAAGTTGACAAGGAATCTTCAGCTGTAAGAATGAGACCAACAAGAAAACTTTCTACAAACTTTTGTCAGACAATCACTCCTGCAAACCTGGGCCAACCACACACTACAAATCAATATTACAGAGGTTCCAAGTGATTCCCTAGAGGAATTAGTGCAAGAGCCTGATACAGAGGAAAGATTCAATGATATTTAATAAATGGATTTTCTACGAATTCTTTGAAAACTGGATTATCACGGCATGGTGTATCTTTCAACACAGACGCAGATACTGTTAAAAAATTATTCAGGATACTTGTTAATGACAGTTAGCCAGATTTATTCAAGAGGGGCTATTGTGATGGGGTTTTGTAGGGGAGTAAGATCAGATTCAAGTCTGACAGAGATGAGCGTGGATTTGAAGGCAAGGAGCCAGTGGGGGTCAGTGGATGGGAAATTTGCTGTTGTTTAGTTACTCTGTCATGTCCTACTCTATGACCCCATGGACTGTAGCCCACCAGGCTCCTCTGTCCATGGGATTTCCCAGGCAAGAACACTGGAGTGGGTTGCCATTTCCTTCTCCAGGGGATCGTCCCAACCCAGGGATCGAACCCACAACTGCCGCATTGGCTGGTGGATCCTTTAGCACTGAGCCACCTGGGGAAATTTCTTTCACTGCTGAGGCAAACCCTAAAGGGTGAGGGGGATTCTTGCTAGACCAACTCAACAGAATGCTTGCTGAAGGCAGTGGAGGTGGTCAGGTACCAAGGTGGGGAATTCCTCCTGATTTAGCAGGCTTCTTGCCCAAACTGGATTCTCCAGGGACAGGTAGAGAAGCCCAAGTCGGACCTGGTTGAGCAGATGTGCTCAGAGGAGCCTGATTAAAGTTTGGTCAAAGGAGGGAGTAGGTGTCCATGCCCGCTTACAACCATTAACCACCATGTTTTCTTTTTCAGGTTAATCATTCTTCCTCTATCAGGTAGTAGAGCATTTACTGTTTTCAAAGTCAAGTGTGCCTGAGCGGGTTGGGCAAGCTGAACCTTTCTTTTCAAGTGTTGCCACCCGCTGCCTCACAGAAGATGAAACCAGGGCCGCCCCTTGCGAGAGAGGCTCCGTGCATGAATAACGCCAGCTCACCACGCAGGACGATGTCGCATGACTGACTCCGAGTTCTTCGAAGCAGAAAGAAATTTCCAAAGTGGTTAGACAGGCTGGGTGACTTCAGGACAAGGCGCCTTTATGTTTTTAAAATCGGAACCCAGCTGTGAGGAGCCAGCGAAAAGGTTTTCTTGTACCTGCTTGGATGACCTGCGGAAACCCTGGCTGGGCGGGTGAGCTGCGACTCTGCACGCATGCACGCAGGCTCCCCTTCACTGCACCCCCGGGTCCACTGCACCCCTGGTCCACTGCACTCCCGGGTCCCCGCCTCCCCGCAGCGCGCGCTGAAGGGATGCGAGGACCTAGCTACCCACGGCTGCAGCGGCAACGAGGCTGGGCCCCGGCGCTGGACCCCCAGCGCGTCTGAGACGGACGTTCACCCCACTGGGATCACCCCTGGCTTAAACGTGGTGCAGCCCCGTCCAGAAAGCCGGCCAGCTACTACTCTGAAAGAGGCCCCTGGGGGCGTTTTCAAAGTGAATGCAAAAAGGCTTCTAAGGATTTTGCCAAGCCCACGTAGGGTGTGGAGCCCTATTAAATCTACCTTTTGTTTCCAGGAGGAGGTATCGTAGTCCAGAAAGACAGAGGTTGTGTCCAGTTTAGAACCTCCAGGCCACCCGCAGTTGTAGGGAGGGTTTCTAATTTCTCCGAGGGAAGAGAGCAGAAATGAGGCACTCTGAGCTTGGGGTAAACTGGCAGGACAGGTCTTCAGAGTGTTAGCTATGCTCAGGAACTAATTTTATGAGCCCAATTCTTGTATCTCCTCATATCTAGAAAAGCACTAAAATCCTTCATGGTGATGACTGTTTCTCGTGACAAGCAAAGCTTCACGAGACTAGTAGAAACCTTCTGGAAAAATATGTGCTTGATTACATGTATTCCCTTTCACCAAAATCACATTTGTAGTGACGTTTCCCCCCTGCCTCTTTGGAGCTGTCTCCCAGAACCATCTGAGGCGCTGTCTGCAGTCTGCTGTCCTCATTTGGCCCCAGTTATAACTGAACTGGTAACCCTCATGTTGTGCATCTTTTTTCAGTGGACAGAGGCCAGGGGATGACGCCAGTGGATGCAGGTGCCTCTGGAATGTCCCCTCCCGGAAGGGAGCGTGGCCTGCATTGCAGACGCCAGCACTGCTAGACTCAGGTCCTGCCTGCATTTTCTCTTTTTTCCTGTTTGATTTGGCATATCTGCAGAGCTCTCAGTGGGGCCTGAACCCCCACAGACAAACCTTTCTTTGTTAGAAGGGCCCTCCTCCCTGGTGAAATCACCTTTATCCAGATACATAGGTCTGATCAAAGGGAAATACTTTAATAACATGGAAAATTGTTGCTTTTATAGTGTTGTGGGGGAAAAAAAGTTCCAAAACAGCGTGTGATCTGATCTTGTTTTGTACAACAAAACCAAACAAACACCACAAAAACACAAATACATACTCAAAGGAAAAAGGTCTGAAGTATATGCATCAAAGTCTACTTTTGGCTTATTGGATGATAAGTGATTTTAATTTTCTTCATTTTACTTATCTGTTCTACAGTGATTTCAACAGTAGACATGGTTTTTTCCTAATAAGAAAAAAAAAGACAAATTTTATAAAAAACAACAAAAAAAGGCAAACAAAAAAAACAGTGTCATGGGCCCAGTGGGAAGAGAGTCCGTGGGTGGGCACACCTGCTGACACTATACCAATATACCCCCTAGAAGCACCCACGTAGATTGCTGGAGACACTCTGTCTTGTAGAAGATACAGATCTGCTCCTGTTTTGTGGCCACTCAAGGAAGAAGCAGATGAACCCCCACTGCTGTTATAACCACAATGCTTTTCTCTTACCCGGAAGATTCCTCAGGATGTTTGTGACTCTGATCTGTTGCTTGGCAACATGTTCATTGAATTGGTTCTCTTTCAATTTCCAATCCTCTATGGCCGGGGTAATTCTCTGTCATGTCTCAGCTTTTGGATTATAGGAGGCAAGTCTCAATTTAGGTCTCTGACCTTGGAGACAATGTCAGAGGGACCCAAAGAGCTGCGAAGTCTTAACTAAAGGGAACACAATAGCTTCCTTCTTGCCATATCCTAAATGGGCCTTCCTGCAGAACCACAAGAATGTAAGTGCCCAAAAGACAGGTTTTATTCCCTGATCTGTCTCTCACTCCTAGAACTATTCCTGACACATTAGAAGGAACCGGTAGATGTTGATATCAGTAAATATAGCGATAAACTATAGACTTACTGTTTGAAAATCTCTCAGGTGTTCAGATTTCTCTTTCCTTTTCTTTCTTAGTTCTTATCCTTTCTCCCTGTTCTTTTCTTTTCACTTTTACAATCTATCAGAACTTCCTTTCCCACCCCATGCCCATTTGTCATTTGCTCACTACCAATCCAGGTATTTACTAAAAATGACAACAAAACCCACGGGCCACAGCTGTTGTCTGAACCCTCGAAACTTCCAAGTCCCACCCAACAACGTCTTGAGACATAGGAGAGCCAAAACCAAAACTCAAGCGATTCCAACTGTGCCGTTATTCTTATTTCCAGCTCCTTGTAAACATGAGAGTGACTGGAACGCTGGTATCCCCACACTAGGGATGCCAACGGTTTTTGTCAAAACGTGAGAAGGAGGGGCTTCCCTGGTGGTCCAGTGGCTAAGCTCCCAGAGGGAGCAGAGGGTCCGGGTTTGATTCCTGGTCAGAGAACTGGATCTTGCATGCTGCTGCTAAGACCCAGGGCAGGCAAATAAATAAATAAACATTATTTTTCAAATGTGAGGAGAAGCTATATCAGACACTGCAGGCTGAGGGCCAGTGTAATTTGTATAATTTGGAAGCCACAGGCACTGGACCCTGTTTCCCTTTGCAAAATCCTCATGTCTCTCTCCAAGCTGTGTTTCTGTATTCTGACCCCAGGGAAAGCTCTAGAAAATGTTATCTCTGGGGAAGAGGCAGGGAGGTGGGACTCATTTGCGAAGGTAAAATATGATGCCGATTGTAATGATATTTTGATTTTTTCTTTGAAATTTCTTCAAAGACTCTGTATGGCATTTTCATCCTCAGAGAAATAAGAATGGGGTCACGTGCCCAAGGATTAAATAAAGCAGGACGTTCTAGGAGGAGCTGGACCGAGGCCCCTGCAAATGTTGCTCACTCTCCTCGCTGCTGCCTGCTCTTGTTGTACTTGTGTCTCTGGGACCCCGATTTGTAGTAAAACTCTGTGCGTGCCTGCTAAGTTGCTTCAGTTGTGTTCGACTGTTTGCAACCCTATGGACTGTAGCCCGCCAGGCTCCTGGGATTCTCCAGGCAAGAACACTGGAGTGGGCTGCCATGCCCTCTTCCAGGGGATCTTCCCGACCCAGAGATCGAACCTGTGTTTCTTAAGTCTCCTGCATTGGCAAGTGGGTTCTTTTACCACTAGCACCATCTAGGAAGCCCAAGAAAATTGTATTTCCTGCATTTGGAGCCCTGGTCTCCTCCCTGCTGATGTAAGAAATGGGAAGAGGCATGGTCAGGCTGCCATGTTGCCCAGCTTTGTCCACACTGAATTTTGTGACTGGTGGGTCCTAGAGCTGTGTGCTGTGAATGCTCTAGAAGGAGAGATGCGGGGGCCAGTGAGTCTAAGCATCACCGTGGGGTATCCTGCTAGCCAGTGTCGTTTCTCTGTCTCAGTGAAAGTTCTCTGCAAGAGTTTGCTAACTTACATTCTTTGCAGCAAAAATAGAGTGATTTAAATTTTTTTCTCATTGAAATCAAGGCATCAGGATGGACGGATACATGATCAATCCACGATCTCATCCATGATGAGTCATGGATACATAGAACTTTTCACTCTCTGATATTTCCCTCTTGGAAACCCCAAAGAGGCCCAGTTGTTGACAGCATCTATTAATCCTTCATTCTGATTTCTAGAGAACCTGGGCTAAGATAAGTTTATTCCAGAATACCTTTTCACTTAAATGAAAATTTTTCTTTGTAAAATTTTTACCCAGACCATTCATTTTCTTAGTTTTACTATACTATTTTTAGTAGCATTATACATGCAGAGCAGAAAACTCAGAAAATGCAGTAAAATCGAAGAACTCATAATCTCATTACCTAGTGATCAAGACCTTGAACATCTTGGAGAATTTATTTCCAGTGTTTATTCTCTACACCAGGGGAGGTTATTTTCTGATTCATCTTTCCCCAAAGCAGCCAAACCTATTATTTTCAAACCATTTCTTATGCCTGGCAGCGGATCCATTTGCAGATTTTCACATGGGCGGCTTCAACTGGAATAGTATAAAGTCACAAGTGTATTCTCAGAAATTAATGGACGTTTCTAAAGAACCTAACATGCTTTAAACATGCTAGTAATGGGTAGATTTTTCTAAACACGTGTAAACTCGTCTTCTTTTCTCTTCACATGCAGTGGCACTAATAATAAGCTCTCACAAGGATGCTCTGAGAACAATAAGGCATGGAGGAGGGCTGAGGTTGAATCACTATAAATAGGAATAGTCAAGAGATTCAGTGGGGAGATGCTAGGCACTTAAATGTGTGTGTGCTTAGTCAGTCGTATCTGACTCTTCGCGATCCCACAGACTGTAGCCATTTCTTCCTCCAGGGGATCTTCCCAACCAGGTTTCCCGCATTGCAAGCAGATTCTTTACCATCTGAGCCACCAGGGAAGCCCAGGCACTTAAAGTGGTGATACCAAAATAAAGAATATTCACGCTGGTTTATCGGAAGTTATGCTAGTGTTTTGGGAGACTATGATGTCATTATTAATAACAGACTTTGTGATCAGCTGATTCTGACTTTTCTCTTTATATGTTGTGTGACACTTGGGTATTATTTAAAATTTTTAAGTCCCAGTTTCCTCATCTGAAACATGAGAAGAATAATAGATATCTTGCAGAATTGTTCATTTATTCAGCTAGTGTTTGCTCAATGCCAGTTATTCAACAAATATGTATGCAGTACTGTGCTAATCTTTGGGGCACATTATAGATCATGTGCATTTGTAAGAAATAACACAGAAAGATCTTGTGTACCCTTTACCAGCGCCCCCAAAGATTTACCTTAGGTAAACCTAAAGTAAATGTCATACCAGGACTTTGACATTTTTGCAATCTACCAATTTCATTCAGATTTACCCAGCTATAATGACCTCAAAATAAAAAGTTTAATTTAAAAAGTGCACTGCTCAGAGCTAACCAATGTTTTAAAATCAAATAGGGGAAGTTTGGATGATGGATGGTAGTCATGGTGACAGTGGTGATTATGATACTAATTACCATTTACTGAGCATCACTGCAAATTCCAAGAGGACTGAGGAGTATTTATACCTAAAGTTCAGCAAATACTACATGTCAAGTTGGTTTCTGAGTTTTGTTTGTTTGTTTTGGTGGGTTTTTTTTTTTTAATGTTTTAAACTTTTTTGAGAGCTGTCTCCTACACCCTCAGAACTCCCTTTTCTCTTCCCGTAGAATTGTTAACCTATAAAGGCTGTGAGTAGGTTCCAGGTATAGTGGCGGTTTGGTCCTACCCAAACCACCAGAGTAAACCACGTCACCTAATTTTATCAAAAATACTGTTTGAG